TCCTGCCTCATCCCTTCCACCCCCTCCCATACCCTGCATGCCAGCCCAGGCAGCCCCTCCACCCTCCCACAATAGCTCTCCTGCATTCCTGTCCCCTGCCTTCTGCTTAAGCTGTTCCCACAGCCTGGAGTCTCCCTCCTGGCTGGAGGAAATCCTGCCGGCTCACATGGCCGTGATCCCCATCATTTCCTACAGAAAAGCTTGCCCAGCTCTCCAACACAGGGGCCTTCTGCCCCTCCTGAGCCCTGAGTCCCCTCCGTCTTAACTGGGAGGTCACCTGTTTGCGTGGTGTCTGCTCAGTTTGCAGGCAAGGCCACCAACACGCTCCTTTCCTGTCTTGTTTCCTTCCTCCCATCCTCTCCTGTCCACCCTCTGCCCCTCCCTCCCTTCTTCTTTTCTTTCCTTCTAGTTACTGAGCCATGCCACGTGCTGCATGCAGCGAGGATGAATAAAATAAACCTAGAGCAATCATTCCAGTTACTACAGCCATATAACAAATTATTCTAAAACTCAGTGGCTTCAGACAAGGACCGTATTTATTTTGCTCAAAAACTTACCATCTGCACAGGCCCTGGTGGAGGCAGCTTATCTGTGTGCCCTTTGGTGATGGCTGGGGCTGGCAAGAAGCTGGGGAGGTGCTTGGGCTGGAAAGATTCAAACGGCTGGAGTCTGGGACAACTGGAGCTCGTTGGCCCCTGTGCTTATCTCTGCACAGCTTCAGGGTAGCTAAACTTACCTTACACTGCTGAGGCTTCTGAAGATGTATGTAGGTAGAGAGAGCTGGGGGGAGAGGGAGAGAGAGAAAGAGAGAGAGAAAGAGAGAAGAAGAGAGAAGGGAGAGAGACAAGAAGAGAGAGAGGAAGAAAAAAGGAGAGAGAGGAAGAGAGAAGGAGAGAGGAAGACAGAGAGAAGGAGGGAGAGGGAGAGAGAGAGGAAGAGAGAGAGGAAAGAGAAAGAGAAAGGAAGGGAAAGACGTGTGTGTGTGAGAGAGAGGGAGAAAAGAGAGGAGACAGAGAGAAAACAGAGGAGAGAGAGAGAAAACAGAGGAGAGAGAGAGGAAGAGAAAAAGGAGGGGGGAGAGAGAGGAGAGTTAGAGAAGAACAAGAAAGGAGAGAGAGAGAATGAGAATGAGAATTGGGTGCCATAAACCCTCTGATGGGGAAAGCAAAGGGCATTGTGGGAGAATCCTCTCAGCACCTGGGACAGCACCCGATGCTGACCAGGAACTTAACAACCAGGAAAATGGTAAAGGGGTGCACAGCCCACCTGGAGTCCGAATAGATGTTCTAACTCTCTTGGGTGTGTCTGGGAATCAGGTAGGAGGTCTTCAGAGGAGGAATTTGCATGCGTTGTTCTCTTTATAATAACCATACTAACGGCCAGCAATGTTCTGGCACTTACTATGGATTAAGTCCTTGTTATGAATGACTTCACGTCATCCTTCCAAATTCAATGACAGGTAGCCGGGCGCGGTGGCTCACACTTTGCAATCCCAGCACTTTGGGAGGCTGAGGCAGGTGGATCACCTGAGGTCCGGAGTTCGAAACCAGCCTGGCCAACACGGCAAAACCCCGTCTCTACTAAAAATACAAAAATTAGCCAGGCGTGTTGGCGAGCACCTGTAATCCCAGCTACTCATGAGGCTGAGGCAGGAGAATCGCTTGAACCCAGGAGGCAGAGGTTGCAGTGAGCTGAGATTGCGTCACTGTACTCCAGCCTGGGCATCGGAGCGAGACTCTCAAACAGGAGCTGGCAGACTATGGCCCACTGCTTGTTTTTGAAAATAAAGTTTTATGGAACACAGCTATGCTCACTTGTTTTCATATCATCTATGACTGCTTCCCAGTTACTATGGCAGAGGAGGTGCAAGAGCCACTGTATGGGTCACAAGTCTGAAATTATTTACTATCTGGCTGTTCGTAGAAAAAGTTTGCTGATACCTGTCCTGGAGGTCAGTGATATTAGGATTTCAGTTTACAGAAAAGGAGAAAAAGATATAGAGAAAAACAGTTTTTTTTTTCAAGGTTGAGAAAATGAGCATCTGAACCAATTGCCCGTGTTATTAAATGTAAACATTTATTATTATTTTTGAGACAGGGTCTTGCTGTGTCACCCAGGCTGGGGTGCAGTGGCGCAATCACGGCTCATCATAGCCTTGACCTCCTGGGCTCAAGCAATCCTCCCACCTCAGCCTCCCAAGTAGCTGAGGCCGCAGATGCATGCCACCAAGCCTGCTAATTTTTGTATTTTTTGTAGAGATAAGGTTTTGCCGTGTTGTCCAGGCTGGTCTCAAACTTCTGGGCTCATGCTATTCTCCACTTTGGCCTCCGAAAGTGCTGGGATTACTGCCACCATGCCCAGCCTAAAATTTTTACTTTTAGTTGTGGTAAAATATGCATAAAGTAAAACTTACCATCTTAACCATTTTAAGCGTGCAATTCAGTAGTGTTGAGTATATTCACATTGTTGTGCAACCATGTTGCACAAAAGACCTTCAGGTCTTTTTTTTTATTTTGCAAAACAAACTCTGTATCTATTAAAAAACAGCCTCCCCCGGCCGGGCGCGGTAGCTCAAGCCTGTAATCCCAGCACTTTGGGAGGCCGAGACGGGCGGATCACAAGGTCAGGAGATCGAGACCATCCTGGTGAACACGGTGAAACCCCGTCTCTACTAAAAAATACAAAAAACTAGCCGGGCGAGGTGGCGGGCGCCTGTAGTCCCAGCTACTCGGGAGGCTGAGGCAGGAGAATGGCGTAAACCCCGAAGGTGGAGCTACCAGTGAGCTGAGATCCGGCCACTGCACTCCAGCCTGGGCGACAGAGCGAGACTCTGTCTCAAACAAACAAAAAACAAACAAACAAACAAAAAAACAGCTTCCCGGCCAGGTGTAGTGGCTCACGCCTGCAATCCCAGCACTTTGGGAGGCCCAGGCAGGTGGATCACCTGAAGACAGGAGTTTGAGACCAGCCTGGCCAACACGGTGAAACCTCGTCTCTACTAAAAGTACAAAAATTAGCTGGGCTTAGTGGCGGGCACCTGTAATCCCAGCAACTTGGGAGGCTGAGGCAGGAGAATGGCTTGAACCCGGGAGGCGGAGGTTGCAGTGAGCCAAGATCACGCCACTGCACTCCAGCCTGGGGACAGAGTAAGACTCTGTCTCAAAAACAACAACAACAACAACAACAGCAACAACAGCTTTCCAGCTGGTGCAGTGACTCACGCCTATAATCCCAGCACTTTGGGAGGGTGAGTCAGGTGGATCACCTGAGGTCAGGAGTTTGAGACCATCCTGGCCAACATGGTGAAACCCCATCTCTACTAAAAATACAAAAATTAGCTGGGTGTGGTGGTGCACGCCTGTAGCCCCAGCTACTCGGGAGGCTGAGGCAGGAGAATTGCTTGAACCCAGGGGGCGGAGGTTGCAGTGAGCCGAGATCACGCCACTGCACTCCAGCCTGGGCGACGCAGTGAGACTCTGTCTCTCAAAAAACAAAACAAAACAAGAAACAAATCCTGCGACTTCCCAATCTCATCTCCTCCAGCCCCTGGCAGCCACCACTCTTATTTTCTGTCTCTATGAATTTGACTCCTCCAAGTGCCTCATGTAAGTGAAATTATACAGCATTTGTCATTGTGTAACTGGTTTAATACGTTTGAGATGGTGAGAGCTTAAGGTCTACAGGACTAAGGTGTTTTTTGTTTTTTTTTTTTGTCTTTTTTTTTTTTTGACAGAGTTTCACTCTGTCGCCAGGCTGGAATGCAGTAGGGCGATCTCGGCTCACTGCAACCTCTGCCTCCCGAGTTCAAGTGATTCTCCTGCCTCAGCCTCCTGAATAGCTGGGACTACAGGTGAGCGCCACCACAACCGGCTAATTTTTGTATTTTTAGTAGAGACAGGGTTTCACCATGTTGGCTAGGATGGTCTCGATCTCCTGACCTCATGATCCGTCCACCTCCACCTCCCAAAGTGCTGGGATTACAGGCGTGAGCCACCGCGCCCGGCCATGGACTAAGGTCTTAAAATAGCTCTTCCTGTCTGTGTAATCTCCATTATGGCAGGACTCATATAAGAAGATGACAGTTCATCTGATGCGGAAGAAAACTTACTCCTAGTTAGAGTGACTTGGATTGAATTCTTCCCTGTTCCCAGCAGTGTCTGCTCATGGAGTCTCAGGCACTGTCAGGGGTAGGAGGTGGTAATCAGATATGCTCGCTCTGAGCAGTGCAAGGGGAAGCAGGTGCCCAGAGGTGCATCCCAGTTTGGTGGGGGTGATAAACATGGACAGGTAAGTGCAGGAGTGTCTGCAATACTCAATCTAAGAAAGGTAGTTCCGGCAGAGTTCAGGGGAGAGATCTCTGTGCAGAACCAGACATGGGGATGAGATTCTGAGAATTTGGAAATGAATAGGCCACCAGCCCCTCCTCCCTCTGAGTCAGGAGTCCAGGCACTTGTCCCTCCTCCCTGGGACCTAGAAGTCCATGCCCCCGGCCCCTCCTCCCTTGGACCCAGGAGTCCATGCCCCCGGCCCCTCCTCCCTCGGACCCAGGAGTCCAGGCCCCCGGCCCCTCCTCCCTCGGACCCAGGAGTCCAGGCCCCCAGCTGCCTTCTCCCGCAGGACCCCAGGAGCTTGGGTACCCGCAGGCTACTAGATCCTTGTTTCTGTGCATGGAAATTCTCAAATTATCCCCAAAAGTCTATGAAGAAGGTAAACACACATTTCCAGATGAAGGAATAGGCTGATATATTTGAAAGACACACAGAGGGTCACAGTCTGGAATTGACAGTGGTGGGATTCGAACCTGTTTCACGCCAGAGCTGTGACGCGCCTTACATGGCGCGGCAAGTATGACGTCATTCGAAGAAACCATAGGCCCCGCCCCCTGACGTAGCCACGCCCATAGGCTACTGAAACCACTTCTCCCAGCTGTGACAGCGCTCAGGACCGTGCTCATAGGTCCGGCCCCTGGGATCCCCGCCCCCTCCGCCCGCGCCCCGCCCCTCGCAGCCCAGTTCCGGAACCCGCGGGCCCCGCCGCGCCTGCGCCTCCGCACGTGGGTAGCTGCGCCGCGCGCTCTTCCTCCGAGGGGCCGGGGCGGCTGGTGTGCAGCCAGCTCCGCTTCGACCCCCGACCCCTGTCCCCGGCCCGGCATGAACCGCTACCTGCTGCCGCTGTCGGCGCTGGGCACACTAGCAGGCGCCGCCGTGCTGCTCAGGTGAGTACCTTCTAGCCCCGCGTGCACGGTCTAGGCAGGCCTCCCGCGCAGGGGCAGGGAAGACGGCGGAGACCCCCGCCCCTCGCACCCGGGTCCAGCCCCCGCAGCTCCCGACCGGCAGTGTCCGCCCCAAGTGGGGCAAACCTGCGCTCTGGCCGGCCAGGTCACCGGCCCAAGGTCACTTGGAGGGAAGGGCGAACCAGGGCCCTTGTAAATGTTGCTTTCCTTCCAGACTTTTAAACTCTTTATTTTATTGTATTATTTATTTGTTCGTTTATTTTTAAAGGCAGCATCTGGCTCTGGCGCCCAGCCTGGAGTGCAGTGGCGCGCTCTTGGCTCACTGCAGCCTTGTCCTCCTGGGCTCAGGTGATCCTCCTACCTGAGCGTCCCCAGGAGCTGAGACCACAGGTGCGCCACCACGCCCGGCTAATTTTTGTTTTTTTAGGAGAGACAGGGTTTTTGCCATGTTGGCCAGGCTGGTCTCAAACACCTGCGCCTCAGGTGATCCGCCCGCCTTGGCCTCGCAAAGTGCAGGGATTACAGACGTGAGCCACCTCGCCCGGCCTTCTTAATTTAAACTTACTTAAATTTTTTACTTAAAAAATTAGTGGCTGGTGGACACTGTATTGCATGGTGCCCTTCTGTCCTGTGGGTGCAGTGCTGTTAACCTGCTCAGCCTCCTGTTGCTGGAGACTGGCTTGTTTCCAGCATTAACCTCTGCGGGACATGGGTGTGGTGGGCAGCGTCATGGCTCCACAGAGGGGTCCACGTCCTAATCCTCGGAACCTGTGACTACATTACCTCAGGTGTCAGAGGTTCTTGCTGATGTGTTAAGTGAAGGATCTTTTTTTTTTTGAGACGGAGTTTTGCTCTTGTTGCCCAGGCTGGAGCGCAATGGCACTACCTTGGCTCACCACAGACTCCCCCTCCCGGGTTCAGGCAATTCTCCGGCCTCAACCTCCCGAGTAGCTGGGATTACAGTCATGTGCCACCACGCCTGGCTAATTTCTTTTTTTTTTTTTTTGAGATGCAGTCTCGCTCTGTCCCCCAGGCTGAAGTGCAGTGGGGCAATCTCAGCTCACTGCAAGCTCCGCCTCCCGGATTCACGCCATTCTCCTGCCTCAGCCTCCTGAGTAGCTGGGACTATAGGCGCCCGCCACCTCGCCCGGCTAGTTTTTTGTATTTTTAGTAGAGACGGGGTTTCACCATGTTAACCAGGATGGTCTGGATCTCCTGACCTCGTGATCAGCCCACCTTGGCCTCCCAAAGTTCTGGGACTACAGGCATGAGCCACTGCGCCCAGCGCCTGCCTAATTTTGTATTTTGCATGAGATTTCTCCATGTTGGTCAGGCTGTTGGTCTCCATGTTGGTCAGGCTGGTCTCGAACTCCTGACCACAGGTGATCTGCCCACCTCGGCCTCCCAAAGTGCTGGGGTTACAGGCATGAGCCACCATGGTCAGCCAAGTGAAGGATCTTATGATTATCATGTAGTCTTTTTTTTTTTTTTTTTTTTTTTAAGACAGGGTCTCTCTGTCCCTGGGCTGGAGTGCAGTCACGCTGTCACAGCTCACTGCAGCCTCAGCCTCCCTGGGCTCATGTGATCCTCCTACCTCAGCCTCCTGAGTAGCTGAGTCTATAGGCGCGCACCACCAAACCCTGCTAATTTTTGTATTTTTAGTAGAGATGGGGTGTCAGCATGTTGGCCATGGCTGGTCTTGAACTCCTTACCTCAAGTGATCCTCCTGCCTTCCCAAAGTGCTGGGATTACATGTGTGAGGCACTGTGCTGGGCCTGCCTTGTGGTCTTATAGGGTCCTTATAAGAGGGAGCAGGAGGCTCAGTCAGAGGGGAGATGGAAGATAGGAGAGGTTGTCAGGTGTGGTGGCTCACACCTGTAATCGCAGCACTTTGGGAGGCCAAGGCAGGCGGATTGCAAGGTCAGGAGTTCGAGACCAGCCTGACCAACGTGGTAAAAGTCAGCCTCTACTAAAAATACAAAATAAATTAGCTGGGCGTGGTCGCACGTGCTTGTAATCCCAGCCACTCAGGAGGCTGAGGCAGGAGAATCGCTTGAACCTGGGAGGCGGAGGTTACAGTGAGCTGAGATCATGCCACTGCACTCCAGCCTAGGCGACAGAGTGAGACTCTGCCTCAAAAAAATAAAAATAAAAGCCAGGCGCGGTGGCTCACGCCTGTAATCCCAGCACTTTGGGAGGCTGAGGTGGGCGGATCACAAGGTCAGGAGTTCGAGACCAGCCTGGCCAATATGGTGAAATCCCGTCTCTACTAAAAATACAAAAATTAGCCGGGGGTGGTGGTGGACGCCTGTAGTCCCAGCTACTCAGGAGGCTGAGGCAGGAGAATTGCTTGAACCCGGGAGGCGGAGGTTGTAGTGAGTCGAGATCGGGCCACTGCACTCCAAATAAATAAATAAATAAAATAAAAATAAATAAATAAATAAATAATTAAAATAAAATAAATAAATAAATTAATAAATAAATAAATTAAATAAATAAAAAATAAAATAAAAATAAATAAAGGAGAGGTTCCAGTGATTATGCGGTTTGAAGATGGAGGCGGGGCCAGGAGTGGAGGAATGTGGCGATTTGTAGGAGCTGGAAATGGATTCTCCCCTAGAGCCTCCAGAAGGAACCTGACTCTGCCAATACCTTGATTTATTCCAGTGAGACGTATTTTGGACTGTTGACCTAAAGAACTGTAGGAGGATGCACTTACGTGGTTTTAAGCCACTAAGTTTGTGGTAATGTGTACAGCAGCCGCGGAAATCTCATTCAGTGGGCATTGTAAATTTAAATTAAAATTTTTTTGAGACGGCGTCTTACCCTGTTGCCCAGGCTGGCGCCATTTTGACTCACTGCAACCCCCGCCTTCCGGGTTCAAGCAATTCTCGTGCCTCAGTCCCCGGAGTAGCTGGATTACAGGTGTGCACCACCATGCCTGGCTAATTTTTTTTTTCTTTTTTTTTTGAGACGGAGTCTCGCTCTCGCCCAGGCTGGAGCGCAAGTGGCACGATCTCCTCCGCTCACTGCAAGCTCTGCCTCCCGGGTTCACGCCATTCTCCTGCCTCAGCCTCCCGAGTAGCTGGGACTACAGGCGCCCGCCACCACGCTCGGTTAGTTTTTTGTATTTTTAGTAGAGACGGGGTTTCACCGAGTTAGCCAGGATGGTCTCGATCTCCTGACCTTGTGATCCGCCCGCCTCGGCCTCCCAAAGTGCTGGGATTACAGGCGTGAGCCACCGCGCTTGGCAATTTTTGTATTTTTAGTAGAGACAGGGGTCTCCCCACGTTTGCCAGGCTGGACTCGAACTCCTGACCTCAAGTGACCTGCCCCCCACCCCCGACTTTGGCCTCCCAAAGTGCTGGGATTACAGGTGCGAGCCACCTCGCCCAGCTGGGAATCTCATGCAGTGGGCATTTATAAAATAACGACTGTCACCAGGCACGGTGGCTCACACCTGTAATCCCAGCACTTTGGGAGACCGAGGCAGGTGGATCACGAGGTCAGGCGATGGAGACCATCCTGGCTTACACAGTGAAACCCCGTCTCTACTAAAAATACAAAATATCAGCCAGGCGAGGTGGTGGTGCCTGTAGTCCCAGCTACTTGGGAGGCTGAGGCAGGAGAATGGCGTGAACCCGGGAGGCGGAGCTTGCAGTGAGCCGAGATCGCACCACTGCACTGCAGCCTGGGCGACAGAGCGAGACTCCATCTCAATAAAAAAAAAAAAAGACTGTCACTTGTGGAAGGCGTTCCACACACCAGACACTGGGTGGAGTCATTTATGGAGAACAGGACGGAGATCCCGTGGTGTGATGTGATGATGTCTGTGTTTCAGTTGGGGGACGTGAGTGAGCTCAGACGGCTTTGCCTGAGATCACTCAGTCAGGGGCACGTGGAGTGAGAGTTGGCAGATAGGACTGACCATGCCGCTGCTCACCCTCAGGGACTATGTCACCGGTGGGGCTTGTCCCAGCAAGGCCACCATCCCTGGGAAGACGGTCATCGTGACGGGCGCCAACACAGGCATCGGGAAGCAGACCGCCTTGGAATTGGCCAAGAGAGGTAAAATCTCCCCTGCTTTGGCTCTCAGAGAGATATCTGCACATCCATGCTCACTGCAGCGTTATTCACAGTCCAAAGGTGGAAGGAAGCCAGGCACCCATCCACAGATGAACAGAGAAACAGAATGTGGCCTCTGTAGACAGTGGTATATGATTCAGCCTTAAAAACGAAGGGCATTGGCCGGGCGCAGTGGCTCAAGCCTGTAATCCCAGCACTTTGGGAGGCTAAGGCGGATGGATCAGGAGTTCGAGACCAGCCTAACCAACGTGGTGAAACCCCATCTCTACTAAAAATACAAAAATTAGCCAGGCATTGTAGTGGGTGCCTGTAATCCCAAGCTACCCGAGAGACTGAGGCAGGAGAATCGCTTGAACCCGGGAGGCAGAGGTTGCGGTGAACTGAGATCGCACCACTGCACTCCAGCCTGGGCAACAGAGCGGGACTCCATCTTCAAAACAAAGCAAAACAAAACAAAACAAAAGTAAGGTCATTGAAACGATGAACCTTGAGGACATTCTATGAAGTGAAATCAGTCAGTCGACAGAAGAGCAAATACTGTATGATTCCACTTATAGGAGCTACCTAGAGTTAAATTCATAGAGAAGTTTGAATAATGGCTTGCCAGGGGTTGGGAGGGGAGGAGAGAATGGGGAGTTAATTATTTAATGGGCACAGAAGTTTAGTTTGGGAAGACGAAACAGTTTGAGAAACAGGTGGTTGTGATGGTTGCACAACATTAGAAATTATTATTACTGTTTCTTTTTGAGAGGGAGTTTTGCTCTTGTCGCCCAGGCTGGAGTGCAGTGGCATGACCTCAGCTCACTGCAACCTCCACCTCCTGGGTTCAAGTGATTCTCCTGCCTCAGCCTCCCAAGTGGCTGGGACTACAGGCATGTGGCACCACAACCAGCTAATTTTGTATTTTTAGTAGAGACGGGGTTTCTCCATGTTGGCCTCATCTTGAACTCCTGACCTCAAGTGATCCACCCGCCTCGGCCTCCCAAAATGCTGGGATTACAGGTGTGAGCTACCATGAATGTTTTTAATACCAATGAACTGGACGCTTAAAAATGGTTAAGAGGGCTGGTCTTGGTTCACATCTATAATTCCAGCACTTTTGGAGGCTAAGGCAGGAGGATCACTTGAGGCCAGGGTTTCCAGACCAGCCTGGACACTGTAGCAAGACCCACATCTCTACCAAAATTAGCCAGGCATGCTGGCACAGGTGGTGCCTGTAGTCCCAGGTCACTTGAGCCCAGGACTTCAAGGCTGAGGTGAGCTATGATGGTGCCAGCACCCAGCCAGGGCAGCAGAATGAGACTCTGACTTAAAAAAAAAAAAAAAAAAAAAAAAAAAGCGGGGGGAGGTTAAGATGGTTAATTTTAAGTGATTTGTATTTTACCACAACAAAAAAATTGGAGGCCAGGCACTGTGGCTTATTTGTAATCCCAGTACTTTGGGAAGCTGCGGAGTGGATCACCTGAGGTCAGAAGTTTAAGACTAGCTTGGCTAACATGGTGAAACCCTTGTCTCTACTAAAAAAAAAAAAAATTAGCTAGGTGTGGTGGCAGGCGCCTGTAATCCCAGCTACTCGGGAGGCTGAGGCAGGAGAATCGCTTGAACCTGGGAGGTGGAGGTTGCAGTGAGCTGAGATTGCACCACTGCACTCCAGCCTCGGTGACAGAGTGAGACTCCAACTACAAAAAAAAAAAAAAGGAAAAAAAGTCCTAATGCCCTCCCAAGTGCTGGAATTCCAGGTGTGAGCCACCGTGCCTGATGAATTCCATGGTGTTTAGTATAGTCACAGAGTGCAGAGTGATGCAACCATCTTTAAAGTCAATCTTAGAACATTTCTGTTACCCTAGAAAGAAACCTTGCTCACTTTTAACTATCAAGCTGTAATTCCCTCTGCCTGCAGCCCTAGAAAACCAATAATCTATTTTCTTTCTCTATGGATTTGCCTATTCTGGGCATTTCATAGATGTGAAATCATACACATAGCATTCATGTAAATGGGGCTGGACACTGTGGTCTTTCGTGTCTGGTTTCTTTCCCTGAGCACAGTGTTTCTGAGGGTCATCCTTGCTGTAGCGTGAGCCAGTGCTTCACTCCTTTTCATGGCTAATATTCCATCTCTATGGATGGACCACATTTTGTTAGCCCTTCATTCACGGATGGACATTTGTTTTTTTTTTTTTTTTTTTAATTTAAGTTCTAGAGTACATGTGCATAACTTGCAGGTTTGTTACATATGTATACTTGTGCCATGTTAGTGTGCTGCACCCATCAACTCGTCAGCACCCGTCAACTCGTCATTTACATCAGGTATAACTCCCAATGCAGTCCCTCCCCCCTCCCCCCGACATTTGGTTGTTTCTACCTTTTGGCTCTTATGAAGAATGCTGCAGTGAACATTGGTGCACGTGTTTTTGTGTAGACATATGTTTTCATTTCTCTGGGATCAGTACCTAGGAGGGGATTATTATTATTGAGACGGAGTCTTGCTCGTCGCCCAGGCTGGAGTGCAGTGGCGTGATCACGGCTTACTGCAAGCTCCGACTCCCAGGTTCATGCCGTTCTCCTGCCTCAGCCTCCCGAGTAGCTGGGACTACAGGTGCCCGCCACGGCGCCCGGCTAATTTTTTGTATATTTTGTAGAGACGGGGTTTCACCGTGTTAACCAGGATGGTCTTGATCTCCTGACCTCGTGATCCACCCGTCTCGGCCTCCCAAAGTGCTGGGATTACAGGCGTGAGCCACCGCGCCCGGCCAGGCGTGGATTATTAATTTAAATCTTTTTCCATCCTGGGTTTTCAGGAGGCAACATCATCCTGGCCTGCCGAGACATGGAGAAGTGTGAGGCGGCGGCAAAGGACATCCGCGGGGAGACTCTCAATCACCACGTCAATGCCCGGCACCTGGACTTGGCTTCCCTCAAGTCCATCCGAGAGTTTGCAGCGAAGATCATTGAAGGTAGGAGGAGAACGCTGGCCGTGTGGGATGAGGACTGGCAGGGGCGGCTCCCGGGGCCAGGCTCTGAGGAGTGAATGGAGCAAACAAACTTCAGAGCAGAGTTTTGGCAAACCATGGGCTAGGGACCAAATCCAGCTGCTGCCTTTTTTTGTACAGCCTGCAAGCAATGACTTTATTTATTCATTTATTTATTATTATTATTTTTTGAGACAGAGTCTCACTCTGTCGGCCAGGGTGGAGTGCAACGGCACGATCTTGGCTCACTGGAACCTCTGCCTCCCGGGTTCAAGCGCACAGCCTCCTGAGTAGCTGGGATTAAGGTGCCCGCAACCACACCCTGCTAATTTTTTTATTTTATTTTATTTTTTTTTTTTGAGATGGAGTCTCGCTCTGTCACCCAGGCTGGAGTGCAGTGGCCGGATCTCAGCTCACTGCAAGCTCCGCCTCCTGGGTTCACGCCATTCTCCTGCCTCAGCCTCCCGAGTAGCTGGGACTATAGGCATCCGCCACCTTGCTGGGCTAGTTTTTTGTATTTTTTAGTAGAGACGGGGTTTCACTGTGTTAGCCAGGATGGTCTCAATCTCCTGACCTCGTGATCCGCCCGTCTCGGCCTCCCAAAGTGCTGGGATTACAGGCTTTAGCCACCGCACCCGGCCAAATTTTTTATTTTTAGTAGAGACGGGATTTCACCATGTTAGCCACGCTGGTCTTGAACTCCTGACCTCAGGTGATCCATCTGCCTCAGCCTCCCAAAGTGCTGGGATTACAGGCGTGAGCCACTGCACCCCGCTGACTTTATGTTTTGTTTGTTTTGAGACAGACGAAGTCTCGCTGTGTTGCCCAGGCTGGAGTGCCATGGTGTGATCTTGCCTCACTGCAACCTCCATCTCCTGGTTTCAAATGATTCTCCTGCCTCTGCCTCCTGAGTAGCTGGGATTACAGGCACCCGCCACCATGCCTGGCTAATTTTTTGTGTTTTAGATAGAGACGGTTTCACCATGTTGGTCAGGCTGGTCTCGAACTCCTGACCTCAAGTGATCCTCCTGCCTCAGCCTCCCAAAGTGTTGGGATTACAGGCGTGAGCCACCGCGCCCAGCCTGAATAATTAGTTTGTTTGAGACAGGGTCTGTCGGCTGGGCGCGGTGGCTCAAGCCTGTAATCCCAGCACTTTGGGAGGCCGAGACGGGCGGATCACGAGGTCAGGAGATCAAGACCATCCTGGCGAACACGGTGAAACCCCGTCTCTACTAAAAAATACAAAAAAACTAGCTGGGCGCCGTGGCGGGCGCCTGTAGTCCCGGCTACTCGGGAGGCTGAGGCAGGAGAATGGCGTAAACCCGGGAGGCGGAGCTTGCAGTGAGCTGAGATCCGGCCACTGCACTCCAGCCTGGGTGACAGAGCGAGACTCCGTCTCAAAAAAAAAAAAAAAAAAAAAAGAGACAGAGTCTGTCTCTGTCACCCAGGCTGGAGTGCAGTGGTGCAAACACAGCTCCCTGCAGCCTTGACCTCCTGGGCTCAAGTGATCCTCCTGCCTCAGACTCCTGAGTAGCTGGGGCTATGGAAGCACACCACCGCATCTGGCTAATTTTTTTTTTTTTTTTTTTTGAGACAGGGTCTTGCTCTGTCACCCAGGCTGGAGTGCAGTGGTGCAGTCATGGCTCATTGCAGTCTCAACCTCCTGGGCTCAAGTGATCCTCCCACTTCCAAGTAGCTGGGAGTATAGGCTTATGCCACCACACAGAGTAATTATTTTATATATATATAAAATTCTTTTTTTTGTAGAGCTGGGGTTTCACCATGTTGTTCAAGCTGGTCTCAAACTCCTGGGCTCAAGTGATCCACCCGCCTTGGCCTCCCACAGTGCTGGGATTACAGGCTTGAGCCACCGTGCCTGGCCTTATTAAGTATTTATTGATCAATTGCTTTCCCCACCATGGTTAAATAAATATGTGTTAGTTATGGGACATTTATAAAATACTGCAGTGTAAAGAAGACAGAACTGGCCGGGCACGGTGGCTCATGCCTATAATCCCAGCACTTTGGGAGGCTGAGGCGGGTGGATCACTTGAGGTCAGGAGTTCGAGACCAGCCTGGCCAACATGGTGAAACCCTGTTTCTACTAAAAATACAAAAATTAGCCGGGTGTGGTGGTACACACCTGTAATCCCAGCTGCTTGGGAGGCTGAAGCAGGAAAATGGCGTGAAGCCGGGAGGCAGAGGTTGCAGTGAGCTGAGATTGTGCCACTGTAGTCCAGCCTGGGTGACAGAGCAAGGCTCCATCTCAAAAAAAAAGACAGAACTAAACACCTTTGATCTGCACCAACCCCAGGAGAATCACTGTTAAAGTTTTGATGGATTTCTTTCCAGTCTTTTTTTTTTTTTTTGAGACAGAGTCTCGCTCTCTCGCCCAGGCTGGAGTGCAGTGGCGTGATCTTGGCTCACTGCAAGCTCCGCCTCCCGGGTTCACGCCATTCTCCTGCCTCAGCCTCCCCAGTAGCTGGGACTACAGGCGCCCGCCACCTCGCCCGGCTAGTTTTTTTGTATTTTTTAGTAGAGACGGGGTTTCACTGTGTCAGCCAGGATGGTCTCGATCTCCTGACCTCGTGATCCGCCCGTCTCGGCCTCCCAAAGTGCTGGGATTACAGGCTTGAGCCACCGCGCCCGGCCTCTTTCCAGTCTTGTTTCTAATTGGTTTGTGTGTGTGAATTTATATATTTTCATGTAAAACTGGGACCATACTCTAGCTTTTCTATTCTTGTTCATCTTTAAATAGACTCAAGAATACATTAAAATTATTTATTGTTTAGTTGACAGGTACACTTGTATATATTACGTACAACATGATGTACATTGTATACATTGTAGAATTACTAAATCAAGCTAATTAACATATGCATTACCTCAAATACTTATATTACCTGTTTTTGTGGTGACTACATTTACAATCTCTTCTCTTAGGATTGCTTGAGCTCAGGAGTTAGAGACCAGCGTAGGAGGCATAGTGAGACCTTGTGTGTACCAAAGATTAAAAAAAAAAAAAAAAAAAGGCCAGGCGCAATGGCTCAAGTCTGTAGTCCCAGCACTTTGGGAGGCCAAGACGGACGGATCATGAGGTCAGGAGATCGAGACCATCCTGGCTAACACGGTGAAACCCCGTCTCTACTAAAAACTACAAAAAACTAGCCGGGCAAGGTGGCGGGCGCCTGTAGTCCCAGCTACTCTGGAGGCTGAGGCAGGAGAATGGCGTAAACCCGGGAGGTGGAGCTTGCAGTGAGCTGAGATCTGGCCACTGCACTCCAGCCTGGGCAGCAGAGTGAGACTCTGACTCAAAAAAAAAAAAAAAAAAAAAAAAGATTAGCCGGGCATCCTGGCATGTGCCTATAGCCCCAGCTACTCAGGAGGCTGAGGCAGGAGGATCGCTTGAGCACAGGAGTTCAAGGCTGCAGTGAGCCGTGTTTGTGCCACTGCACACTAACGTGGACTACAGAGCAAGACCTGGCCTCTTACCAATTTTTTTTTTTTTTTTTGAGATGGAGTCTTGTTCTGTCACCCAGGCTGGAGTGCAGTGATGCTATCTTGGCTCACTGCAACCTCCGCCTCCCGGGTTCAAGTGATTCTCCTGCTTCAGCCTCCCGAGACTATAGGCGTGTGCCACCATGGCTGGCTCATTTTTGTATTTTCAGTAGAGACGGGGTTTCACTGTGTTGGCCAGGCTGGTCTTGAACTCCTGACCTTGTGATCCCCCTGCCTCAGTCGTGAGGCCTTGTTTCTAGTCTGGCACTGAAAGGGCCAAAGCTTTCTTGTTCGGAGTCAATGTGCCCCACTCAGTTAACGGGTACTCAGGAAATGAACAAGGAAAGGGGGAGTTGTGGGACCTCATTTATTTAGTAAAGGCGATCTGAGACCTGACCAGGTGCTGGAGTTGTGAGGTGAACCAGAGCTGTCCTCGTGCCACTCATAGCCATAGGGAGGCAGGTGCAGGTGCAGATTCGCTCATTCATTCATTCATTCATTCATTCATTCATTCATTCATATTGAGCCCCTGCTGTGCCCTTGGGGATCAAGAAAGAGCTGGCACTGTTGTGGAGTAGGTGAGAGGCGCTATGGTGAGATCACAAAGGACAGTGAGAACAGCCTCAGAGTCTCAGAGGTGGATGAATATTTATTAAGCACCTGCTGTGTACCAGGTACAGCACTGTTGCCTTCATGCACACTGTCCGAGGTAATCCCGCCCGGGGCGCCTCTCCTCCTGTCTCTGGCTTGTGGAGACAGGTGTCCAGAGCACTGAGGTCCTGAGACAGTGCAGGGCCTTGTGGGCAGCAAGGACCCAGGCTGGATGCACCTGGGCAGGTGATGCCTCCTTTTTCTTTTTTTTTGAGATGGAGTCTCGCTCTGTCACCCAGGCTGGAGTGCAGTGGCCGGATCTCAGCTCACTGCAAGCTCCGCCTCCCGGGTTCCCGCCATTCTCCTGCCTCAGTCTCCCGAGTAACTGGGACTACAGGTGCCGCCACCTCGCCCGGCTAGTTTTTTGTATTTTTTAGTAGAGACAGGGTTTCACCGGGTTAGCCAGGATGGTCTCGATCTCCTGACCTTGTGATCCGCCCGTCTCGGCCTCCCAAAGTGCTGGGATTACAGGCTTGAGCCACCGTGCCCGGCCTGATGCCTCCTTTCTTAGCCACACGTTTCTCTTCCAGGAAATGGAATAATAATTCCTTCTATTTTCTGATATTCTCTAGAGGATGAAGTAAAGCTGTGTCTGTGACATTTTTAGCAAATCAAGTACCAGCTTCTTGGTGTTTTCCTAAGATCAACAGCCAGGCATGAAGACATCAGTGGATTTAAAAATAGTGAAGATGGTGCACTTTATGTCGTGTGTATTCTGCCACATTTGGGCAGGTCCGGTGCAAGGGTTCACGCCTGTGATCCCGCACTTTGGGAGACAGAAGCTTTGGGAAGATCACAGTTTGTGAGTGACACTCTGACAAAGCTGGAAGCCGCAGCTCTTTCCAGCGCCAGACTAGAAAGAACGCAAAGCAAAGAGCCCCAGGAAGTGCCCACAGCCTTGTTCACCAGGGAGTTTGAGATCAGCCTGGGCAACAGAGCAACACCTCATCTCTACAAAAAATACAAAACAATTAGGCAGGCGTGATGGGCGCGGTGGCTCACGCGTGTAATCCCAGCACTTTGGGAAGCCAAGGTGGGTGGATCACAAGGTCAGGAGATGGAGATCATCCTGGCTAACATGGTGAAACCCCGTCTCTACTAAAAAATACAAAAAAACTAGCCGGGCGAGGTGGCGGGCGCCTGTAGTCCCAGCTACTCAGGAGGCTGAGGCAGGAGAATGGCGGGAACCCGGGAGGCAGAGCTTGCAGTGAGCTGAGATCCGGCCACTGCACTCCAGCCTGGGCGACAGAGCGAGACTCCGTCTCAAAAAACAAAACAAAAAAACAAAAAACAATTAGGCAGACGTGATGGTGTGCACCTGTAGTCCCAACTACTTGGGAGGTTGAGGTGGGAGGATTGCTTGAGCCTGGGAGGTTGAGGCTGCAGTGAGGTTTTTTTTTGAGATGGAGTTTTGCTCTTGTTGACCAGGCTGGTGCAATGGCAGGATCTCGGCTCACTGCAACCTCCGCCTCCTGGGTTCAAGTGATTCTCCTGCCCCAACCTTCCGAGTAGCTGGGATTACAGCCATGCGCCACCATGCCTGACTAATTTTGTATTTTTAATAGAGATGGCGTTTCTTCATGTTGGTCAGGCTGGTCTCGAACTCCTGACCTCAGGTGATCCGCCCGCCTTGGCCTCCCAAAGTGCTGGGATTACAGACGTGAGCCACCGCACCTGGCCTGCAGTGAGCTTTGATTGTACCACTGCACTCGGGGTGAGACCCTGTGTCCAAAAAAAAAAAAAAAAAGGTTGAGGCAGTTCCCAGATAAACAAGACAATAGGCCAGGCACTGTGGCCCATGCCTGTAATCCCAGCACTTTGGGAGGCCGAGGTGGGTGGATTGCTTGAGCTCAGAAATTCGAGATCAGCCTGGGCAACACAGCCAAACCCCATTTCTACAAAAAATTTTAAAAGTGGCTGCTCGTGACGTCGGGTGCCTGTGGTTTCAGCTGTGCGGAAGGCTGAGGTGGGAAGATCGTTTGAGCCCTGGCAGTGCAGGTTGCAGTGAGTGGAGATCGCGCCACTGCACTCCAGCCTGGGCCACTGAGTGAGATTCCCTCTCATAAAAAGAAAAAAAAAAAAACAGGCTGGGTGCGGTGGCTCACACCTGTAATCCCAGCACTTTGGGAGGCGGAGGTGGGTGGATCACGAGGTCAGGAGTTCAAGACCAACCTGACTAAGATGGTGAAACCCCGTCTCTACTAAAAATGCAAAAATTAGCCAGGCACGGCGCAAAAATTGGCAAAGTGCAAAATTAGCCAGGCACGGTGCAAAATGCAAAAATTGGCAGGCACCTGTAATCCCAGTACTCAGGAGGCTGAGGCAGGAGAATCATTTGAACCCAGGCTGTAGAGGTTGCAGTGAGCCAAGATCACACCACAGCACTCCAGCCTGGGTGGCAGAGTGAGACTTCATCTCAAAAAAAAAAAAAGAAAAAAACAAACCAAAACAGCAGAAGCCGACGGCACTCCCGGGTCCCCAGCTGTGAGTGGAGTCTCCCTGCTCCCGCCTTGGGGCCTCACCTGCGATGTGCCCGCTACCTGCATTCCCCTTCCCTGGGTCTCCGCACGTGCGCCCTGCCTCATTTTCCTGGTCCCAGCTTTTGTGTCAGCTCCTGAGAGGGGCCTCCTGTCAGCTCCCATGCAGCTCTGTCACGGGTAGATTCTCTGACGAGTGGAAGCGGGTCTCAGCTGCACTGGAATGTCCGGTCTACGCGGACGGGGCCTCGGCTGTGCTGTCCACCCTGTATTTCCAGTGCCCAGTAATAGATGCTTAGAAAATACTTACCGAATGAGTAACTATACAGTCGCACCAGGCAGGTGATGCTGTTATCCTTTTTTTTTTTTCTAATGAGGAGTAAACTGCGTCACAGAGAAGCGATGTGACTTGGCCAGGGTCAGGCAGCTGGTCTGGTTGGAGCCAGGGTTTGAACTCAGGTGTGCTGCAACCCCACCTTCTCACACAGAGAACGGGACGGTGTCTGTGTGTGTTACGCACTGGACACCTAATTCATGATCCCCGCTGAGAGCCACTTCGGAGGCCGGGCGCGGCGGCTCACGCCTGTAATCCCAGCACTTTGGGAGGCCAAGGCGGGTGGATCATGAGGTCAGGAGATCGAGACCATCCTGGCTAACACGGTGAAACCCCATCTCTACTAAAAAATACAAAAAAATTAGCCGGGCGTGGTGGCGGGCACCTGTAGTCCCAGCTACTCGGGAGGCTGAGGCCGGAGAATGGCGTGAACCCAGGAGGCGGAATTTGCAGTGAGCCGAGATCGCGCCACTGCACTCCAGCCTGAGCAACAGAGACTCCATCTCAAAAAAAAAACAAAAACAAAAAACAAAAAAAGAAAACCGCTTTGGGAGCATTATGAATTCCATCGTGTCTGCCACCCTCAAAGATAGGTTGGGGTCCTGACCCCCCCATCCCTCAGCATGTGACTTCATTTAGAGGTGGGTGTTTACAGAGGTCCTCAAGTTAAAATGAGGTCATTAGGGTGGGCCCTAATCCAGTGACTGGTGTCCTTATTAAAAGGGGAAATTTCCACCGAAAAACAGACGTGCCAGCCGGGCACGGTGGCGTGTGCCTGTGGCCCCAACTACTTGGGAGGCTGAGGCAAGACGATTGCTTGAGCCTGGGAGGTTGAGGCTGCAGTGAGCAGTGATTACGCCACTGTACTCCAGCCTGGGTGTCAGAGAAAGACCCTGTCTCAAAGAAATATAAAAAATAGACCGAGTGCGGTGGCTCACGCCTGCAATCCCAGCACTTTGGGAGGCCGAGGCAGGTGGATAACAAGGTCGGGAGTTTGAGACTAGCCTGGCCAACATGGTGAAACCCCATCTCTACTAAAGATAAAAAAAAATTAGCTGGGCGTGGTGGCGGATGCCTGTAGTCCCAGCTACTCGGGAGGCTGAGGCAGGAGAATTGTTTGAACCTGGGAGGTGAAAGTTGCGGTGAGCTGAGATCGCGCCATCGCACTCCAGCCTGGGCGACAAGAATGAAACTCCACCTCCAAAAAAAAAAAAAAAAGGCCGCGGTGACATCACAGCACTTTGGGAGGGCAAAGCAGGAGGATTGCTTGAGGCCAAAAGTTTGAGACCAGCCTGGGCAACATAGTGAGACCATGTCTGAAAAAAAGTATATATATGCATATAAAATTTAAAAAGGAAAAAAAAAAGAGAGACAGAGATAGCTCCAAAGGGAAGAGGAAGGGAGAAGGGACAGAGGCCAGAGCAGATTCTCCCTGAGGGCCCTCAGAGGGAACCAGCCCTGCCCACACCTTGATCTGGGACTTCCAGCCTCTGGGACTGTGATTAATTGAGTGAGTGAGTGATTGAGATGGAGTCTCGCTCTTGTTGCCCAGGCTGGAGTGTAATGGTGCGACCTCTGCTCACTGCAGCCCCTGCCTCCCGGTTTCAAGCGATTCTCTTGCCTCAGCCTCCTGAGTAGCTGGCATTACAGGTGCCCGCCACCACGCCTGGCTAATTTTGTATTTTTAGTAGAGACGCCATTTCTTCATGTGGGTCAGGCTAGTCTCAAACTCCTGATCTCAGGTGATCCGCTCACCTTGGTCTCCCAAAGTGCTGGGATTACAGACGTGAGCCACCACGCCCGGCCAGGTCTGTGAGGTTTTAAACCACCTGTCTGTGGCACTTTGTTATGGAACCTGAGCCGAGCGATATAGGGAGGAAGGCCCTGTGGTTCAGCGCATTTTACAGCTGAGGAAACTGAGGCTGCAGTCTCCATCTTGTGTGCCCTCTGGTTGTCTGTGCGAGTGAGGTGGCAGGCTTCGGAATGAAACCGCCGCACCTGCAAACCTGCAGTGCCAGGGCTCGCACCGGTAACCCCGTTTGGCCTTGGGGCTCCTGCAGGAAAGAGTCCCAAGGCTTAGGTGGAGGGGGTGTGAGTGTCCTGGACCTGCTGTAACGAGGTACCTCAAACCCAGTGGCTTTACACCCTCAGACATGCATTCCCTCACGGGTCCGGAAGCCGGCAGTCCGAATCACGGTGTCCCTGTGGCTGTGATCCTGTGAGACGGGCGGTAATCCTCCCAGCCTCTTCCACTTCCAGCGGGGGCGCCCACACTCATCTCGGAGCTGCGCCTCTCCGGTCTCCGCTTCCGTCCACATGTGGCCTTCTCCCCGTGTGTCTCTGTCTCTGTTTTCCCTTCCTATAAGGACACCAGTCACTGGATTGGGCTCACCCTAATGACCTCTTCCTGACGTGGCCACTTCAGCACAGGCCATGTTCACGGGTTCTGGGAGCACAGGAACGTTTCTACTGCTGCCTCAGGCTGCGGTCTGTCCTCTCCCTGATGTCTCCTTCCCCCCCCCTCCCTTCCAGAGGAGGAGCGAGTGGACATTCTAATCAACAATGCGGGCGTGATGCGGTGCCCCCACTGGACCACCGAGGACGGCTTCGAGATGCAGTTTGGCGTTAACCACCTGGGTGAGGCCTGGGCAGGGGGCTGCCCCGTGGGCTCAAGCGATCCTCCCCCGTCGTCCTCCCAAAGTGCTGGGATTTTAGACGTAAGCCAAAAGTGACCTTTTTGTCATCCTTAATCCAGGTCACTTTCTCTTGACGAACTTGCTGCTGGACAAGCTGAAAGCCTCAGCCCCTTCACGGATCATCAACCTGTCGTCCTTGGCCCACGTGGCTGGGCACATAGACTTTGATGACTTGAACTGGCAGACGAGGAAGTATAACACCAAAGCCGCCTACTGCCAGAGCAAGCTGGCCATCCTCCTCTTCACCAAGGAGCTGAGCCGGCGGCTGCAAGGTACGGGGCACTAGGCTCGGCCTCCCTCTTGCTTTACTCTGAGCCTAGAGCAGCCCTTCCATGATCCTAGGCTGATGGGAGGCCAGGCTGTGGCTCCACAACAGAATCTGCAAAAGTAGAGCACACAGACCACCCTGCCCGCTTCTGGTGCCTGAAGCAGACATCACTAATCAATTGTTCTTCTGCTGATTGTCTGTTCATCCCAGGTGGTCTAGTCTGCCTGGATCAGGTGTCCTTCCCTGCTGCTGCTGGGCAGGCAGCTCAGCCTTTTGGCTCCAGCCAGTGAGTCTCAACCAGGGGCAGTTCTGGCCCACAGTTGTCAATGCCTGGAAACACAGTGATCACATCTGGGTGGGGGAGAGATTGCTCTGGGCATCTGGAGTGTAAAGGCCCGGATGCTGCTCAAGGTCCTACAGCACACAGGACGGCCCCTCACTCCTCCCGATCCACAGTGTCCATAGTGCTGAGGTTGAGGAATCTGTGCTGGGCCTTTGCTTCTGAAAGACCGTCTGTGGACCAGCGGTGCCAGCCCCAGTGGGAGCTGGTCAGAGTTACAGTATCTCAGATCCCACCGTCACCCACCGATTTGGATTCCTGGGGTGAGCTCAGCGTTCTGGGTTTATCAAGTGCTCCAGGACAGCTCGGCTCCCAGCAGCCATGTGGCAGAGCCGCCTGCAAGATAAGACCACTAAGATTTCAGAGCAAGAGGGACGACGGGGTTTGAGTGTAGGAAGCAGCCTGGCGCCCGGAAGCCCCACAGCTGGGTGTGGGCTGCCACAGCCTTCCAGGTGAGGCTGGACCTCTCCCTCAGTCTTCTATTTCTTCCCCAGGCTCTGGTGTGACTGTCAACGCCCTGCACCCCGGCGTGGCCAGGACAGAGCTGGGCAGACACACGGGCATCCATGGCTCCACCTTCTCCAGCACCATGCTCGGTGAGTCCCTCCCAGCCTGGGGTCTGCACGCTGAGCCCTCCACCCTTGCTTTCTCAGCCCGGGGCCCAGGACCCTCCCTCAGAGACGGTCCCTGGGGCCGCATGCCTGCTCCTCACCTGTGTCTTCTGAGGCACAGGACGGGTCCCTTTCCTCTGTCGACCTGGCCTGCCAACCTCTAACAGCCTCAGGAAGCAGGCAGAGCCCCACTGGCCGATGAGAAAACCGTGTCTCAGAGGAAGAGGCCGTGGAACTGACTCCTGGAGTCAGACTGTGCTCAGGGTAACTCCAGCTTCACCCCAAACCAGCCGCGCCTCCTGGGGAAGTGCTGTTACCCCTCTGAGCCTGTTTCTTCATCTGCAGAGTGGAGGCCATAACAGGACTCACCTCACAGGCACTGGGAGGGTTAGACAAGACCTTCCTTAAAAGGGCCAGCACACGGCCGGGCGCGGTGGCTCAAGCCTGTAATCCCAGCACTTTGGGAGGCCGAGATGGGTGGATCACAAGGTCAGGAGATCGAGACCATCCTGGCTAACCCGGTGAAACCCCGTCTCTACTAAAAAATACAAAAAACTAGCCGGGCGAGGTGGCAGGCACCTGTAGTCCCAGCTACTTGGGAGGCTGAGGCAGGAGAATGGCGTGAACCCGGGAGGCGGAGCTTGCAGTGAGCTGAGATCCGGCCACTGCACTCCAGCCTGGGTGACAGAGCGAGACCCCGTCTCAAAAAAAAAAAAAAAAAAAAAAAGGCCAGCACAGTGCCCTGCCCAGAGAACAGGCGGAATAAACAGTTGGAGCTTTATTTATTTATATATTTTTGAGATGAAGTCTTGCTCTGTCACCCAGGCTTGACTACAATGGCACGATCTTGACTCACTGCAACTTCCACCTCCTAGGTTCAAGCGATTTCTCCTGTCTCCAAGTAGCTGGGGTTACAGGTGCACACCACCACACCCAGCTAATTTTGGTATTTTTAGTAGAGGTGGGGTTTTACCATATTGGTCACGCTGGTCTTGAACTCCTGACCTCAGGTGGTCCACCTGCCTCAGCCTCCCAAAGTGCTGAGATTACAGGCGTGAGCCACCACCCCCAGCCAGTTGAAGCTTTATAACTAGGTTTTATAATCCTGAAAAACATGGAGTGGGTGAGTGGTTGGCATCAAGAATCTTAACTTGGCCAGGCTAATAGCCATGCCTGTAATCCCAGCACTGTGGGAGGCTGTGGCAGGCAGATTACCTCAGGTCAGGAGTTCGAGACCAGCCTGGCCACCATGGTGAAACCCATCTCTATTAAAAATACAAAAATTAAGGCTGGGCGTGATGGCTCACATCTGTAATCTCAGCACTTTGGGAGGCCGAGGCGGGCAGATCACCTGAGGTCAGGAGTTTGAGACCAGCCTGACCAACATGGAGAAACCCCGTCTCTACTAAAAATACAAAATTAGCTGGGGTGTGGTGGTGCATGCCTGTAATCCCAGCTACTCGGGAGGCTGAGGCGGGAGAATTGCTTGAACCCGAGAGGTGGAGGTTGTGGTGAGCCGAGATCGTGCCATTGCACTCCAGCCTGGGTAACAAGAGCAAAACTCTGTCTCAAAAAAAAAATTAGCCAGGCGTGGTGGCGGGTGCCTGAAGTCCCAGTTACTCGGGAGGCTGATGCAGGAGAATTGCTTGAACCTGGGAGGCAGAGGTTACTGTGAACTAAGATCGCGCCACTCTACTCCAGCCTGGGTGACAGTGAGACACCAGGTCTCCAAAAATAAATTATATATAAATTATTTTTTTTGAGATGGAGTTTTGCTCTTGTCACCCAGGCTGGAGTGCAATGGTGCGACCTTGGCTCACTGCAACCTCAGCCTCCCAAGCAGCTGGGATTACAGGCACCCACCACCATGCCTGGCTAAGTTTTGTATTTTTAGTAGAAATGGGGTATCATCATGTTGGCGAGGGTGGTCTGGAAGTCCTGACCCCAGGCGATCCGCCTGCCTCGGCCTCCCAATGTGCTGTGATTACAGGCCTGAGCCACCTCGCCTGGCCAAAAAAAAAAAAATTCTTAACCTGAGGCTGGTACTAGGTGCATTTAATAAGAAGTTATTTAAGGAGAAATGGGGTAGGGTGAGGACTGGGGCTAAGAGGACGAGAGCTTCCATTTTCCTGGACAAAGCCAGGAGGGCTCCTTGGGGGAGGCAGTTTCTGGTCTGATCCCTGGTCTGGAGGGATTAGCCTGGGCAGTGCCAGGGAAGGGAACTGCAGATGGAGGGAGCCAAGGGGAAGGGGCTGGAGGAGGGCTCTGTGGGACTCCAGGGGCCCGGAGCTCCCTGACGGGGGAGTGGGGCTTCCTCGCTACTCTGAGCATGTGTGGACTGAGCGCCCTGTGGCTTCCTCGCTTCTCTGAGCGTGTGTGGACTGAGCGCCCTGTGGGCTGATTGCAGGGCCCATCATCTGGCTGCTGGTCAAGAGCCCCGAGCTGGCCGCCCAGCCCAGCACATACCTGGCTGTGGCAGAGGAACTGGCGGATGTTTCCGGAAAGTACTTCGATGGACTCAAACAGAAGGCCCCGGCCCCCGAGGCTGAGGATGAGGTGGTGGCCCGGAGGCTTTGGGCTGAAAGCGCCCGCCTGGTGGGCTTAGAGGCTCCCTCTGTGAGGCAGCAGCCCCTTCCCAGATAACCTCTGGAGCAGATTTGAAAGCCAGGATGGAGCCGCAAGACCGAGGGCCACTGTCTGCCATGCCCGCAGCTTCCTGGCACCACCTGAGCCGGGAGACCCAAGACTGCCGGCCCCCATGCCCGCAGCATCCTCTAGGGGGCGGTGCTGGCACCACCTGAGCCCGGAGACCCAAGACTGCCGGCCCCCATGCCCGCAGCATCCTCTAGGGGGCGGTGTTGGCACCACCTGAGCTGGGAGACCCAGGACTGCCGGCCCCCATGCCCGCGGCTTCCTCTAGGGGGCGGTGCTGGCCGCAGTGGACTGGCCTGCGGGTGACCACTGCCCTGGGCTCCGGCTGGTCCCATGTGCTCTGCTGCCAGCAGGGGAGCGGGGCCATCTGATGCTTCCCCTGGGAATCTAAACTGGCAATGGCCGAGGAGGCACAGGCTCCGTGCACTTGTGGGCCATGTCAGGAGAGCCAGCGGTGCCTGTGGGGGAGGGCTCCAAGGTGCTCTGCAAAGAGCATGGGCAAGCTGTCTGACACTCGGATTCTTGGGTACCCGTGGGACCTTGTGCATGCAGGGGTCTTCTCTGAGCCTTGGTTTCTTCAGCGGTGAGGTGCTCAGAATAACCGCTGTCTCCCGTGACGGTGTGGTGCGGCGAGCTGTTGTCTGGTCACTGTGGCTGTGCACAGCCCTTGCCAGGGGCGTTTGCTGAGGGCTTCCTGTGCCAGAGCCCGGCCAGAGAGCAGGTGCAGGTGTCATCCCGAGTTCAGGCTCTGCACGGCATGGAGTGGGACCCCCACCAGCTGCTGCTACAGGATCTGGGATTGCCTGGGGCTCCCACCTTCCTGTCAATTCTCATGGTAGTCCAAACTGCAGACTCTCAAACTTGCTCACTAAAAAAAAAAATGTACTTGAGTCGTAGGTTTTACTTTTTCCTCTGTGCATGGGTGAATGCCCCTGAGCTGAACAAAGGCAACTCCTGGATTTCTTCCTTTTAGTTTATCACCAGGGCAACAGGCCATGCAGAAGTTCAGACGTTTTAGAGATGAAAGCCCCCTTCACCCCTTTCACAGGCCATAACCGTTTCAGTCCGGGCATCTTACAAGACGGCTTGTTAGAAACTGGGTAGAGATCAGGGTGAGAGGAAGGGGCTCTCAGCTTAGGTGCAGAACCGAAGGAGACACGGAAAAGCTCAGTAATCGAGATATAAAACATGTTTTCATATTTGAGATACTGGGGAGGCCAGGGATGCTGCTCAATATCCTACAGTATGCAGAATAGCCACCCAGTCTCACCCTGTTGCCCAGGCTGGAGTGCAATGGCATGATCTCGGCTCACTGCAACCTCTGCCTCCCGGGTTCAAGCGATTCTCATGCCTCAGCCTCTCGAGTAGCTGGGATTACAGGCGTCTTCCACCACACCTGGCTAATTGAAGACGGGGCATCACCATGTTGGCCAGGCCTGGTCTTGAACTCCTGACCTCAGGTGATCCACCCGTCTTGGCCTCCCAAAGTACAGGAATTACAGGTGTGAGCCAGTGCACCCCAGCCCTTTTTGCTTTTTAGAGACAAGGTCTCACTCTTGCTAAGGCTGGAGTGCAGTGCCATCACAGCTCACTACAGCCTCGACCTCCTGTGATTCTCCTGCCTCAGCCTCCTGAGTAGCTGGGACTACAGGTGCACGCCACCACACTTGGCTAATTATTCGTAGAGGTGGGGTCTTGCTATGTTGCCCAGGCTGGTCTCAAACTCCTGGGCTCAAGTGATCCTTCTGCCACGGCCTCCCAAATTGTTGGGATTACAGGTATGAGCCACTGTACCTGGCCGTCGTTTTCTTTCTGATGCCATACCCAACGGCTGGAGGGTGTATTTGGGATGACCTGACTCTGGTAGGCAACTTCCAGTGGACCCCACAGTGAGACCACCTCCCTTTGACTGTGGGGAGATGTAGCAACCTTTTTTTTTTTTTTTGAGACGGAGTCTTGCTCGTTGCCCAGGCTGGAGTGCAGTGGCGTGATCTCCCGCTCACTGCAATCTCTGCTTCCTGGGTTCACGCCATTCTCCTGCCTCAGGGTCCCAAGTAGCTGGGACTAAAGGCACCCACCACCATGCCCGGCTAATTTTTTTATGTTTTTAGTAGAGGCGGGGTTTCATCGTGTTAACCAGGATGGTCTCGATCTCCTGACCTCATGATTCATCCACCTCAGCCTCCCAAAGTGCTGGCATTACAGGCGTGAGCCACCGCGCCCGGCGTAGCGACTGGTTTCTAGCAGTAGGATAGGGCAGAGGTGACAGTTGGTTAGTCTTGTGGTTAGGTTACAAAACCGACCTCTGGATGGTAGCATCCCTCCTGCCAGCCCTCTGTCTTGCCCTCTCGCTGGCTGGCTGCGGTGGAGCCAGCTGTCATGGTGAGCGGCCCTGTGGAGAAGCCAGGGAGGAACCGGGAGAAACTGAATCACACCAACAACCACGTGCGTGAGCTTGCTGTATGCTCTTGCTTGGGGGCAAGTTACAGACTCAGCCCAAGAGGAGTGGACCCCTCCAGGGTGTGAATACCAGGAGGGGGAATCGGAAGCACGCCGACAGGAGTGTGTGTGTGTAGGACGTTATTTCTCACTGGGAGAAAAGCAAGTTTGAAAAACACTCCCATGAGATGGGTGGGCTGAAGATAAAAGCCTCAAAGCCTCTGGTTCTCTGAATAGGTGCATAGGACTCACCCAGGCACTCTTTCCTTTTTTAAATTGTGATAAAAAGTACACAACACTGGCCAGGTGTGATGGTGCACTCCTGTAATCCCAGCTACTAGGGAGGCTGAGGCAGAAGAACTGCTTGAACCAAGGGGGCACCGCTCCCGGCTGTAACAAGTTTTCAACATCCCCCTCTTCGGTGGCACAGGGGCTGGCCCCACATACGTATGCGATGGCAACTGACCAGGTCCCTGATACACCGGAGTGCTCCAGAAACACCTCGTTGCCTGGGATGGAGGATGATGTTATGTGGCCCACCGAGGGTTTGAGTTTGATAAATGGGCAAAGGAAGTGGTTTTTAGTAGAAAGCCAGGCTTCTTTTTTTTCCCCCGCAGCCAGCAAACCCCAAACAGGAACCTATGGTTGGTGATGGATGTGCGTTCAGAAGGCGGGGAGGAAGCGGGAGTCAGAGGTGAGGGCAGTCATCAGTCATAGCTGTCCGCTGCATCACCCTCTCGCTATCTCCAGAAAGTTTTCTGGACTTCTCCTGTTGTGCAGTGTGGAAGTGCCCCATCTTCATTCATATCGAGTAAAGTCAAAGGACAAACTCTAAAGATGGCAGCATCTTCCTGCCTTCCTAGTCAGGTTCCTGCCGTAGCGGAGTGCCACCCTGATTTCCAGCCCTGCAGCACACAGTCACACAGGGAGAACCTGCCTGGCGTGATCCAGAGGCAACATATCTCCCAAGGTGATTGTGAAGGAACCAGAGGGATAAACACAGCCCGTGAACCGCGAGCCAGAAGACTGGTCCAGCTGGCTGCTGTTGACTCATCAGGGCGTGTTGCGTCCGAGCACTTCTCCAAACCACCCAAGTGGCACCCAGGGCGACATGTACATCACCTTGAGTACAATTCTCTCAAGGAAAAAAACAAGCCCAGCATCTTCTGCGATGGCAGCCCTGGCTTGGAGCCTCATAGGAGAGAAGGCCTTAAGAATACCATTTTCTTGCTCTAAGTTGCTCTTACAGGAAACAAGTGATAATATTCTTTTTTTTTTTTTTGAGACGGAGTCTTGCTCTGTCGCCCAGGCTGGAGTGCAGTGGCGCGATCTCCACTCACTGCAAGCTCCGCCTCCCGGGTTCACGACATTCTCCTGCCTCAGCCTCCCGAGTAGCTGGGACTACAGGCACCTGCCACCACGCCCGGCTAATTTTTTTGTATTTTTAATAGAGATGGGGTTTCACTGTGTTAGCCAGGATGGGCTCGATCTCCTGACCTCGTGATCCGCCCGTCTCAGCCTCCCAAAGTGCTGGGATTACAGGCGTGAGCCACCACGCCCAGCGTGATATTCTTTCTAAATGCCATCAATCACACCTACATGTGTCACCGAGGGCCGGATCATTCTCTGCCGTGGTGGGGCTGTCCTCTGCATTGAAGAATGCTGAGCAGTGTCCTTGGCTTCAACTGACCAGACGCCAGAGGCACCCCAATTTCTTCCATCAGGGGACTGACTTACCTTCACTGTTGCGTTTGATTATTTTCATGTATCTTTAAAAAAGGACCCAGTGGGGCCAGGCGCAGTAGCTCACACCTGCAATCCCAGCACTTTGGGAGGCTGAGGTCAGTGGATTGCTTGAGCCTAGGAGTTCAAGACCAGCCTGGGCAACATAGTGAAAACCACCTCTACAAAACACTTTTTTTTTTTTTTTTAGACGGAGTTTTGCTCTTGTTGCCCAGGCTGGAGTGCAGTGGCGCAATCTCGGCTCACTGCAACCTCCGCCTCCTGGGTTCAAGCGATTCTCCTGCCTCAGCCTCCTGAGTAGCTGGGATTACAGGCACGCACCACCACGCCCGGCCAATTTTGCATTTTTGGTAGAGATGGGATTTCTCCATGTTGGTCAGGCTGGTCTCGAACTCCCAACCTCAGGTGATCCGCCTGCCTCGGCCTCCCAAAGTGTTGGGATTACAGGCGTACGCCACCGTGCCCGCTCGACTTTATAGTTTTATAACCCTTATGGCAAATCTCATAGTATTCTGCAGGGATAAGCACAAAACCATTTGTTCAATAAATGCAAACAGAAACGCTAACAATTCTTAAGACATTTCTAATCTTATTTTACCAATAATTTTAAAGCCAGCTTTTGTATTAAAGATTTATAGCCACTGTTATTAACGTTTTAAATTCTATGCAGCTTAAAGCATTTATAATTGATAAAACTGCTGATGCTGAGTACCTGACCTAATATTTGAAAGGTGGCAGGCATTCAGCCACGGTCGCTGAGTTAATCAGAGACGTAGAGATGATGATGTGAGGGAGGGTTTTAGATATAAACACCCTGATATTTATCATTTTAACCACTTGGAAGTGCACATACGAGTCAATGGCATTGGCCAGGTGCGGTGGCTCACGCCTGTAATCCCAGCACTTTGGGAGGCCGAATCACAAGGTCAGGGTAGATCAAGACCATCCTACCTAATGTGGTGAAACCCCATCTCTACTAAAAATACAAAAAATTAGCCAGGCATGGTGGCGGGAGCCTGTAGTCCCAGCTACTCAGGGACTCATGCCTCCATCTCCCAAGTAGCTGGGATTACAGGTGTGTGCCACCATGCCCGGCTAATTTAACGCCCAGCTAATTTTTGTATTTTTAGTAGAGATGGGGTTTCACCATGCTAACCAGGCTGGTCTCAAACTCCTGACCTCAAGTGATCCACCCGCCTCAGCCTCCCAGAGTGCTGGGATTACAGGCGTGAGCCACCGCGCCCGGCTGATTTTTATTCTTTTAATGAAGGCTGGTTGATGTTACCTTGTCTGTGTATACCGCATGTTATCATTGTTGTTGATGGATATTTGGCTGGTTTCACCTCTTGGTTATTGTGAATAAAGCTGCTAGGAACACTGGTGTACAAATATGTTCGAGATCCTGTTTTCGATTCTTTTAGGTGTATACGCAGAAGTGGAATTGCTGGATTTTACGGCAATCCCACGTTTAACTTTTGGAGGAGCTGCTAAAACTGTTTTCCACAGCAGTGGCACCATGTTATGTCCCCGCCAGCAAGGCACGCGCAGTCCAACTTCTCTGCATACTCACCAACGTTTGCTGTTTTCCATTAAAAAAAATTATAGCTGGTCGGGCGCAGTGGCTCATGCCTGTAATCCCAGCCCTTTGGGAGGCCAATGTGGGCGGATCACCTGAAGTTCGGAGTTCAAGACCAGCCTGGCCAATGTGGTGAAACCCCATCTCTACTAAAAATACAAAAATTAGCCCAGCGTGGTGGTGCACACCTATAACCCCAGCCACTTGGGAGGCTGAGGCCGGAGAATCACTTGAACCCAGGAGGTGGAGGTTGTAGTGGGCCGAGATGGCGCCACTGCACTCCAGCCTGGGCAAAAAGAGCGAGACTCTGTCTGGAAAAAAAAAAAAAAATTATAGCCATCCCAGAAGTTGTGAAGTCATATCTCACTGTGGTTTTGATGAGTATTTTCCTAGCGACATCAGGGAGTTTATGGGAGCACGGGAACACAGGCCAGGCCCCAGCAGGCGGACGAACGGTGCAACGCCAGGCTGGCCAGAGGAGATAAGCGCGGCTCCTTGGAGCTTGTGTGCAAGTCACTGTCCTGGGGAGCCGGCTACGGCTCGATGAGTCTCAATTAGGAAAGGCCGGGGCTGGCGGAGGAAGGGAGGAGAGCATTCTTCATCCTCATCACATCCTGAGCCCGTGCCCAGGCTCCCACCACTTCCCTCCTGGGCCACAGAACCCAGGACAGGGCTGAGGAACCATGTCTCCATCCCCGACCACCCTCTTCTGTCTCGGTGAGTCCTGAGGGTCGATCTGGGAAGTGCTGAAAGACAGGCCTGGACTGCCAGACAAAGGATTTTTTAAGAAATTTGCATCGGTGATGAATTTCAGGACAAAAAGGGACCTATGAGAGCCCCTTCATTGGTTGGGTGGGGAAGCGGAGGGCCAGCGAGGTGGTGTATTTTGCCTGAGTTATTCCAGTGTATTCGTCGCTGGGTCAGGAAATGAACAGAGGTGTCCTAGCATTGGTCACAACTTTGTTCTACGACACTGCAGTTGCCCCTTTTTAAATAACTGTGGGCCAGGCACGGTGGCTCATGCCTGTAATCTCAACTTTGGGAGGCCAAGGTGGGTGGATCACCTGAGGTCAGGAGTTCAAGACCAGCCTGGCCAACATGGCGAAACCCCGTCTCTACAAAAATTAGCCGGGCATGACGGGGCGGTGCCTGTAATCCCAGCTACTCGAGAGGCTGAGGTGGGAGAATTGCTTGAAACCGGGAGGCAGAAGTTGCAGTGAGCTGAGGTCAGGCATTGCACTCCAGCCTGGGCAACAGAGAGAGACTCCGTCTCAAAAAACCGCTGAGTGCCGTGGCTCACGCACTTTGGGAGACCGAGGCGGACGGATCACCTGAGGTTGGGAGTTGGAGACCAGCCTGACCAACATGGAGAAACCCCATCTCTACTGAAAATACAAAATTATCTGGGCGTGGTGGCGCATGCCTGTAATCCCAGCTACTCTGGAGGCTGAGGCAGGAGAATCGCTTGAATCTGGGAGGCGGAGGTTGCAGTGAGCCGAGATCACGCCATTACACTCCGGCCTGGGCAACAAGAGCAAAACTCCATCTCAAAAAAACAAACAAACAAACAAAAATTGTGGACTTGATGATATCTGGACTAGGTTATGGATTTAATTTGTCAGTATCCCCTACAGCAGTGGAGTAAATAAGAGTCTCCTGACCGATGGGTGGCAGGTCGAATGCATTTCCACTGCCTGCTCTTCACTTGTGCTGGGCATGTCGAATGCATTATTTCCTGATTTCTTCAGGAGAATTTGACCACTAAAGGGACAGCATCTCCAAAAGGCTAAGCAGGAAGGAGATGGTTGTGTTACTGGAGATGAGAGGGTTAACTGTGAATATAAACAACCTCTCATTCATTATCCATCCACGGATGTATTCTTTAACTTTTTTTTTTTTTTTTTTTTTTGAGATGGAGTCTCGCTCTGTTGGTTGCTCAGGCTGGAGTGCAGTGGCACGATCTTGGCTCACTGCAAACTCTGCCTCCTGGGTCCAAGTGATTCTCCTGCTTCAGCCTCCGAAGTAGCTGGGATTACAGGCATCCACCGCCAGGTCCGGCTAATTTTTATATTTTTAGTAGAGACGGGGTTTCACCATGTTGACCAGGCTGGACTTGAACTCCTGACTTCAGGTGATCTACCCGCCTCGGCCTCCCAAAGTGCTGGGGTTACAGGCGTGAGCCACCGCATCCGGCCTGTTTTAACTTTTATTTATTTAATTTTACTTGAGACAGGGCCTCACTTCTGTCACCCAGGCTGGAGTGCAGTGGCATGATCATGGCTCACTCTAGCCTCAACCTCCCAGGCTCAACCAATCCTTCCCCATCAGCCTCCTGAGTAGCTGGAACTACAGTTGCACACCATCATGCCTGGCTCATTTTTGTAATTTTTGTAGTTATGGGGTCTCGCTATGCTGCCCAGGCTGGTCTCGAACTCTTGGGTTCAAGCGATCCACCTACCTCGGCCTCCCAAAGTGTTGGGGTTACAGGTTTGACCTGTACAGGTTACTGCATCTGGCTTAATTTTTGCTTCAATTGCTTTTGGGATACAAGTGGTTGTTGGTTACATGGATGAACTATATAGTGGTGAATTCTGAGATTTTAGTGCCCCTGTCACCTGAGTAGTATACCTTGTACCTAATGTGTAGTTTTTCATCCCTACCCACCTTCTGCCCTTCTCTTCTGAGTCTCTGAAGTCCATTACATCACCCTGTATGCCTTTGCATACCCACAGCTTAGCTCTCACTTGTAAGTGAGAACATACAGATTTTTGTTTTCCACTCCTGTGTTACTTTACTTAGAATAATGCCTCCAGCTACATCCAAGTTGCTGCAAGACATTTTTTTTTTTTGAGCTGGAATCTCGCTGTTGCCGAGACTGGAGTACAGCAGCGTGATCTCAGCTCACTGCAACCTCCTCCTCCCGGGTTCAAGCAACTCTCCTGCCTCAGCCTCCCGAGTAGCTGGGACTACAGGCGCCGTCACCACGCCCGGCTAATTTTTGTATTTTTAGTAGAGACGGGTTTCACCGTGTTAGCCAGGATGGTCTTGATCTCTTGACCTCATGATCCACCCGCCTCGGCCTCCCAGAGTGCTGGCATTACAGGTGTGAGCCACTGTGCCTGGCCAAAGGACATTATTTTGTTCCTTTTAATGGCTGAGTAGTATTCCACACTCATTTATTTTTACTTATTTTTTGACACAGAGTCTCACTCTGTCGCCCAGGCTGGAGTGCAGTGGTGTGATGTCAGCTCACCGCAACCTCCATCTCCCAGGTTCAAGTGATTCTCCTGCCTCAGCCTCCTGAGTAGCTGGGATTACAGGCTCCTACCACTACGCCCAGCTTATTTTTGTACTTTTACTAGAGACAGGGTTTCCCATGTTGGTCAGGCTGGTCTTGAACTCCTGACTTCAGGTGAGCCACCCGCCTTGGCTTCCCAAAATGCTGGGATTACAGGTGTGAGCCACTGCGCCTGGCCAGTGAGAACTTTAAAACCTACTCTCAGTGATATGCGAGTGTGCAATATGTTGTTATAAAACACTGGATGCCTGGTTAAATTTGAATTTCAGATAATTAGTACCTTCTTTTTTCTCTTCTTCTTATTTTACTGAGACAGGGTCTTGCTCTGTTGCCCAGTCTTGAGTGCAGTGGTGCAATCTCAATTTTTTTTTTCTCGAGATGGAGTCTTGCTGTGTTGCCCAGGCTGGAATGCAGTGGTGCGATCTCAGCTCACTGCAACCTCCACCTCCTGGGTTCAAGCAATTCTCGTGACTCAGCCTCCCAAGTAGCTGGGATTATAGGTACGTGCCACCATGCCCAGCTAATTTTTTATATTTTTAGTACAGATGGTGTTTCACCATGTTGACCAGGCTGGTCTCGAACTCCTGACCTTGTGATCTGCCCACCTTGGCCTCCCAAAGTGCTGGGATTATAGGCGTGAGCCACCGCGCCTGGCCAGTGGTGCAATCTTACCTCACAGCAGCCTTGACCTCCTGGGCTCAAGCAATCCCAGGAGGGGATCACTTATATATATGTATTTATATGCATATATACATGCATATACACACATGTATACATACATATAGCGATCAGATCAGGGTAAGCAGCACACCCATGTTCTCAAACATGCATCCTTTCTCTGTGTTGGGAACCTTCACCATCCTCCTTCAGGCTACTTGAAACGATATATTATCATATATATTACATCCTACCATGTAATCATGGAATATCGATTCAACCAAACGTTGTAAATACTGTGAAACCCATGGCCAGTACACGCTGAGATGACCTGACTTACACACTGGGGCTCCATCCTGCTCCATCCCTGGAGCCCAGCGCATCCCATTAGTGTGGGGTTTTACTGCATGTATTACATATACAATAAAATACAACAATATACAATATGCAATAGTATTTACAATACTTGTCTAATACAATTGCGTACTATTGGAATGCCCTTGGATATTATTTCATATTGGAGACCGAAGGGAGGAAACGAAGGGACAGCAATATCTGAGGTCCCATTCCTCACATCCACTGAGGAAGTCAACGGGCAAATGTCTAACACGAAGGAATCCACAGATAGCAGCATGCGTACTTTTTCCTAGAACGATGAAGATATAAAAATGCCAGAAGGAACAACAGAAATAGTAAAAAATGTATGCGGGGCGGGGACAGTGGCAGGAGCTGGACAGGGTGAGTCAAGGAATCTCTGCTTGACTTTCAAAAGATCTATTTTTTGAGATGGGGGTCTCACAATGCTGTCCAGGCTGGAGCACAGTGGGCACCATCTCGGCTCACTGCAGGCTCGACCAGGATTCCTGGGCTCAAGGAATCCTCCCAACCTCAGCCACCCCAAGTAGCTTGGACCACAGGCACATACCACCATGCCTAACTTTTTTTTTTTTTTTGGTAGAAATGAGGTCTCACTATGTTGGCCAGGCTGTTCTCCAACTCCTGACCTGAGATGATCCACCCCTCTTGGCCTCCCAAAGTGCTGGGATTACAGTGTGAGCCACCATGCCTGGCCTTAAAATAGTTGTCATTGTGGTAAAATACATAGAAAAGTCTGCTATAGCTGGCATTTGGTACATTCAATGTTGTGCAACCATCACCTCTATCTAACTCCAAGACATTTCGGCACCCTCCGAGGGAACCCCACGCCGGTTCCGCCGCCACGTCTCGCCCTCCTCTCCCCCCTCCCCCAGCCGTGGATCTGTTTTCTTCTCCTCCTTCTATAGATTTACCTATTCTGGATATTTCATGTAAACGACCTCATAGACTGTGGCTTTTTCTGACTGGCTTCTCTCACTTAAATTACATGCACATGTATCTTCTGAAGAAATAAATAATTAGGACAGAATAAAGCATATGCGTGCAAATGTCTTATCACCGCGCCCAGCAGGCGGGAATGTCCATACGAGCGCATCCTGGCATCTGGTCCCTTTCTTCTTTCCTCAGGGCTGTGTCTGGGGCATGTGCCAGCGCAGAGAGGTGAGTCCTTCCCCCAGACCCCTTCCCTCCTGCGGGATCCGCCAGCGTGCCAGGGCAGCGGGGCCCAGGCGGCGTCTGCGGGGAGGCTGACCCAGCCCTGCTCCTCTTCCAGGACCGCTGCCTAAGCCCTCCCTCCAGGCTCTGCCCAGCTCCCTGGTGCCCCTGGAGAAGCCAGTGACCCTCCGGTGCCAGGGGCCTCCGGGCGTGGACCTGTACCGCCTGGAGAAGCTGAGTTCCAGCAGGTACCAGGATCAGGCGGTCCTCTTCATCCCGGCCATGAAGAGACATCTGGCCGGACGCTACCGCTGCTCCTACCAGAACGGAAGCCTCTGGTCCCCGCCCAGCGACCAGCTGGAGCTCGTTGCCACCGGTAAAGGAAGGGGGATCGGAGCCTGGGACTGCCTGGTCCTCCGTTCAGGGCACAAACATGGGGGACACTGAGAGCAGGGATTAGGGCCGGAATTAGGGCGAGGCAAACCAGGCACTGGCCTAGCGGGTGGTGGTGCCACAACATTTATGGATCAATGTGAATAATATTTTGTTTTGTTTTTTGGACACAGGGCCTTGCTGCGTCACCCACGCTGGAGTGCGGTGGTGCGATCTTGGCTCACTGCAGCCTCCACCTCCTAAGTTCAAGTGATTCTCCTGCCTCAGCCCTCCGAGTAGCTGGGACTACAGGTGTGCACCACCATGCCCAGCTCATTTTTAATTTTTTTTGTGGAGATGGGGTCTCTTGACAGTTTTCACAAAAGGCATTAAAATAAAAGAGAGAGAGAGGGTCTCGCTATGTTGCTTAGACTGGTCTCAAACTCCTGGGCTCAAGCAATCCTTCCACTTTGGCCTCCCAAAGTGTTGGGTTTACAGGCCTGAGCCACTGCATCTGGGTGTGAATAACATTTTAATGCAATTTTTTAAAAAATCAAAAGAAATCGCAAACCATCCACGATGAAAAAAAAATCAGAATTTCACGTAAAGGCAGAATCAGGCAGTGCCTGTGCCAAAACGAAAGACAGGCACTCCTTTATCTGTGTTTTAATGCACTTAAAAAAATTAGAGATGGGCTCTTGCTATGTGGTCCAGGCTGGAGCGCAGTGGCTGTTCACAGGAGCAATCATAGCTCACGGCAGCCTGGAACTCCTTGCCTTAAGCAATCCTCCTGCCTCAGCCTCATGAGTAGCAGGGACTACAGTCACAGGCCACCATGCTTGGCTCAGGATTCTTTTTAATTAAAAACTTGGTTTTGGAATCATTTTTAGACTGACAGAAAAGTTGCAAAGATAATATTAATGAAAATATTTCACCCAGGATCCCCTCATGTTAACATCTTACATTTGTTACAACTAAAAAATAAACATAGCACTGGTCCCAGTGGCTCACACCTGTAATCCCAGCACTTTGGGAGGCTGAGGCAGGAGGACCACTTGAGCCAGGGAGGCTGAGGCTACAGAGAGCTGTGATCGTGCCTCTGCACTCCAGCTTGGGTGACAGAGTAAGATCCTGTATCAACAAACAAACAAACAAAAAACTAACCATAGGCCAGACGCCGTGGCTCACACCTGTAATCCCAGCACTTTGGGAGGCCGAGGTGGGCGGATCACAAGGCCAAGAGATGGAGACCATCCTGGCTAACACAGTGAAACCCTGTCTCTACTAAAAATACAAAAAAATTAGCCGGACGCGGTGGCGGGCACCTGTAGTCCCAGCTACTCAGGAGGCTGAGGCAGGAGAATGGCGTGAACCTGGGAGGTGGAGGTTGCTATGAGCCGAGATAGCGCCACTGCACTCCAGCCTGGGCGACAGAGCGAGACTCCGTCTCAAAAAAAAAAAAAATCATAATAAATCTTTCTTTCACGGGAATAAGTATTCAAATAGAATAATGTGAGTTTTAATGACCTACTCTTCAAATTTGCAAACATTTTTTCAAATATGTTAATTGTTTGGGAATAATTACATTTTACATCCCAGGAGAGTGCCTCACTCATGCCACCCTAATTCCTGGCCCGCTGCACTGTGGTCTATTCCGCGTTGTAAATTCTGCCTACCTCCCCTCTTTCCTCCCTCACTCCTCTCTGCTGCTAGGATGGACCAGCCTGGCCGCCTCATTACTTCTTTTGGGGTCAGACTCAAATGCCATCTTCTTATTAAGTATTTACCCCACCACCCTAGTCAAAATGGTCCTCCTCACTATCTGTTATGTCAAGTATACCTTTATTTTTACCTTGGTGATGGTTGTCTATTTTTAATTCCTGATGGGATTTTTTTGTTGTTGTTGTTAGAATACAGGGCTGGGAGCGGGTGGTTCATGCCTGTAATCCCAGCACTTTGGGAGGCCAAGGCGGGTGGATCACCTGAGGTCAGAGGTTCAAGACCAGACTGGCCAACATGGTGAAACTCTACAAAATACAAAACTTAGCTGGGCATGATGGCGAGTGCCTGTAATCCCAGCTACTCTCTAGGCTGAGGCAGAAGAATGGCTTCAACCTGGGAGGCGGAGACTGCAGTGAGCCGAGATCATGCCATTGCACCCCAGCCTGGGCGACAGAGCGAAACAAAACAAAACAGAACCAAACAAAACAAAACAACAAAAAAAGAATACAGACAGACACTTAATAGTTGCCTAAGAGAAAATTTGCTGAGTGAATGTTACGATTATCAGGCAGCTTATATCCTTCCTTCCTTCCTTCCACCCTCTCTTCCTCCCTCTCTCCCTTCCTTCCTCTCTTTTTTCTTCTTGTTGAGTGAATGCCATAATTATCAGGCAGTTTATATTTTTCTCTTCCTTACTTCCTTTCTTTTGTTTTCTCTCTTTGTCTTTTTTTTGAGACAAGGTCTCACTCTGTCACCCAGGCTGGAGTACAGTGATCATGGCTCACTGTAGCCTCGACTTCCTAGGCTCAAGCAATCCTCCCACATTGGCCTCCCAAAGTGCTGGGATGACCGGTGTGAGCCGCCGCCCCTGGCCTCAACCTTTGTCTACTGACTCCTGGGTGCAGGCATGCATCACCACACCGGACTACGACAATACCCTCACATCAGAGTAGTGTAGGTTCGTGCTGAGGAGTGGAGACCCTAGAATCAAACTCTGTGAGTGCAAATTTCAGCTCCGCCCCTTATGATCTTGGACAAGTTATTTATTTATTTTTAAATTAAAAATTTTCGGCCGGGCGCGGTGGCTCAAGCCTGTAATCCCAGCACTTTGGGAGGCCGAGATGGGCGGATCACGAGGTCAGGAGATCGAGACCATCCTGGCTAACACGGTGAAACCCCGTCTCTACTAAAAACTACAAAAAAAAAAAAAAAATTAGCCGGGCGAGGTGGCGGGCGCCTGTAGTCCCAGCTACTCAGGAGGCTGAGGCAGGAGAATGGCGTGAACCCGGGTGGCGGAGCTTGCAGTGAGCTGAGATCCGGCCACTGCACTCCAGCCCGGGTGACAGAGCGAGACTCTGTCTCAAAAAAAAAAAAAAAAAAAAAAAAAAAAATTTTCCAGGTTTGTTGAGTTATAATTGAAAAACAAAAATGGAACATATCCAAGGCGTACATGTTTTGATGTACGTACCCACTGTGAGATAGTTACCACGAGCAAGCTAATTAACATACATCACCTCGCACAGTTAACTTTTCTTTTGAGTGTGAGAACACTTATAATCTACCCTCTTAGCAAATTTCAAGTACGCACTGCTGTCTTGTTACCTAGGGTTGGACAAATTAACGCCATGTGCCTTAGTTTCATTTATAAAATAGGGACGTTAAGAGTGAGGACTCCACAGGTCTCTGAGGATTCACTGAACTGATGTGCGTCATGCGTTCGGAAGGCACCCAGAGCTGGCACCGTCAGCCACGTTTCCAACGTAATGATTGTATGTGGCAATGCAAGCTTACGGCATGGTATAAGCTTAAGCTGTTTACGTACTCCCATCTCATTTCAAGCGCTTGCTAGGCAACAGGCACTCTGCTAAATGCTTACTGTGTACTGTCTCGTTCGATCATCCCCATTTTAGCAGAACAAGGCAGTGAGGCTCAGATACAGAGGAGATTTGTCTCCGGGGCCACTTAAAGGCAGAACCAGGATTCGCACCCAGGCACTAGGATGTGGGCACACAGCCTCGCTTCCTCAACCACTTGGTGCTTGACCTCTCTGTGAGCTTGGGTGGGGGAGTGTGCTGTCTGGGAGGGATACAGCCCTGGGAGGGATACAGCCAGAAAGCTCCCCAGCTCTCAGGCAGGTGTGGGCACCTCCCCAGTCTGAGCTGAGATGCTGGCTGCTGCCTTTAACATCAGACTTTCCTTTTCTCCCAGGAGTTTTTGCCAAGCCCTCGCTCTCAGCCCAGCCCGGCCCGGCGGTGTCCTCAGGAGGGGACGTGACCCTACAGTGTCAGACCCGGTATGGCTTTGACCAATTTGCTCTGTACAAGGAAGGGGACCCTGCGCCCTACAAGAATCCCGAGAGATGGTACCGGGCTAGTTTCCCCATCATCACGGTGACCGCTGCCCACAGCGGAACCTACCGGTGCTACAGCTTCTCCAGCGGGGACCCATACCTGTGGTCGGCTCCCAGCGACCCCCTGGAGCTCATGGTCACAGGTAGGGGTGGTGCAGACCAAACCTTTGTTCCTCAGCCTTTGTAGGTCCTGAGGGCCATTCCGAGGGGAAGGGCCATAGGTAGGGAGGACGTGGGAGGGCAGGAAGCCCTGGGTTGCAGGCATCTGGGAGGATGGAGGTTTCTTTTCTTTCTTTCTTTTTTTTTTTTGATGAAGTCTCACTCTGTCACCCAGGCTGGAGTGCTATGGGGTGATCTCAGCTCACTGCAACCTCCGCCTCCCGGGTTCAAGCGATTCTCCTGCCTCAGCCTCCCGAGTAGCTGGGATTACAGGTGCATGCCACCATGCCCGGCTAATTTTTGTATTTTTAGTAGAGACGGGGTTTCACTCTGTGGGTCAGGCTGGTCTCGAACTCCTGACCTCATGATCTGCCTGCCTCAGCCTCCCAAAGTGCTGGGATTACAGGCGTGAACCACCATGCCAGCCTTGGCTACCATTCTTTTTTTTTTTTTTTTTTGAGAGGGAGTCTCGCTCTGTCGCCCAGGCTGGGATGCAGTGGCCGGATCTCAGCTCACTGCAAGCTCCGCCTCCCGGGTTTACGCCATTCTCCTGCCTCAGCCTCCCGAGTAGCTGGGACTACAGGCGCCCGCCACCTCGCCCGGCTAGTTATTTTTTGTATTTTTTAGTTGAGATGGGGTTTCACCTTGTTAGCCAGGATGGTCTCGATCTCCTGACCTCGTGATCCGCCCATCTCGGCCTCCCAAAGTGCTGGGATTACAGGCTTGAGCCACCGCGCCCGGCCTGGCTACCATTCTTAAAGGGAGTTTCTTTCAAAAGAGAGCAGCATACCTCATATATATGTGGTTATACACATACCACATGTATATAACAATGTGGTTATACACATACCACATGTATATAACAATGTGGTTATATACATGCAATGGAATATTACGCAGCCTTAAAAAAGAAGGAAATTCTGACATATACTACAACATGGATATACCTTGAGAACATTATGCTAAGTAAAATAAGTCAGTCATAAAAGGACAACTACTATCATGATTCTACTCAAAGGAGGTATCTAATGTCAAAATTATAGAAACACAAAGTACAACGGTGGTTGTTAAGGGCCAGAAAGAGGGGAGAGCAGGAATTAGTGTTTAATGGGCATAGAGTTTCACTTTTGCAAGAAAAATAGCTTCTAGAGGTCAACATATTGTACCACAATGTGAACATACCCAATGCCACTGGTCAGTACACTTAACAACGTCATATTAAATCAAACAAAATACATCATTTAGTTTTTTGGTAGAAAAAGTCTGTTTTGCCCCCAGGGTCACAGTGAGGGGTAGGACACAAGAATCTAGAAGAAGAAATAGAACTGAGGTTCAAAAAGGACGGACAGGAGTTGCATGCATTTCCTTGTTAAGTATCCCAGAATGTGCCAGGTGTGCTTTACAAATGCTGCCTTTTTTTTTTTTTTTTTTTGAGAGTCTCGCTCTGTCACCCAGACTGGAGTGCAGTGGTGTGATCTCGGCTCACTGCAACCTGCACTTCCCGGGTTTAAGCGATTCTGCTTACAGGCACCTGAGTAGCTGGGATTACAGGCACCTGCCATCATGCCCAGCTAATGTTTGTATTTTTGTAGATATGGGGTTTCACCATGTTGGCCAGGCTGGTCTTGAACTCTTGGCCTCAGGTGATCCGCCTGCCTCCGCAAAGTGCTGGGATTACAGGTGTGAGCCACCACGCCTGGCTAAGCCTTCTTTTTTTTTCTTTTTTTTTTTTTGAGATAGAGTCTTACTGCATCGCCCAGGCTGGAGTGCAGTGGTGTGATCTTGGCTCACGGCAACCTCTGCCTCCCAGGTTCAAGCGATTCTCCTGCCTCAGCCTCCCAAGTAGGTGGGACTACAGGTGCATGCCACAATGCCTGGCTAATTTTTGTATTTTTGATTGAGACGGGTTTTACCACCTTGGCCAGGCTGGTCTTGAACTCCTGACCTCAGGAGATCTGCCCACCTCGGCCTCCCAGAGTGCTGGGATTACAGGTGTGAGCCACTGCACCCGGTCAGAAATACCATTTGACCCAGCAAACCCATTACTGGTTATATATCCAAAGGCATATAAATCATTGTATTATAAAGATAACATGCACACATATGTTCACTGCAGCACTATTCACAATAGCAAAGCCATGGAATCTACCCAAATGCCATCAATGACAGACTGCATAAAGAAAATATGGTACATACACAGCATGGAATATTATGCAGCCATAAAAAGGAATGAGGTCATGTCCTTTGCAGGGACATGGATGGAGCTGGAAGCCATTATCCTCAGCAAACTAACGTAAGAACAGAAAAGCAAACACCACACTTTCTCACTTGTACGTGGGAGCTGAACAATGAGAACACATGGACACAGGGAGGGGAACAACACACACTGGGGCCTGTAGGGGGGAGTCGGGGGAGGGAGAGGATCAGGGAAAATAGCTAACGCATGTGGGGTTTAATACCTAGGTGATGGTTGATGGGTGCAGCAAACCACACGTTTACCTGTGTAACAAACCTGCACCTCCTGCACATGGATCCTGTAACTTATAAATTTTAATTAAAAAAAAAAAAAGAAACAAGGCTTATTAATGCATCTCACAGGAAGAGAAGTAACAAAGACCAAATAATACCCACACTCTCATTATGCCACAGAGAGCTGAGCATAAACTAGGTTTTGCCGAGCTAGGTCCACCATAAAAAGACTCCCAGGATGGTACCCACCACCACAAGAGCTTCATATTTATCAGCCGAGGCAGTTCAGGAAACATTTTGGTGGCCACAGGAGGTCCCTGGTTAAGAAAACGGCCTAAGTAGGAAGGTGGAGATCCCATGTTCTGAGGCTAACACAAGCTCATTCTTTTTTTTTCGAGACAAAGTCTCACTCTGTCGCCCAGGCTGGAGTGCAGTGGTGCGATCTTGGCTCACCGCAAACTGCGCCTCTTGGGTTCACGCCATTCTGCCTCAGCCTCCCAAGTAGCTGGGACTACAGGCACCTGCCACCATGCCCGGCTAATTTTTTGTATTTTTAATAGAGACAGGGTTTCACCGTGTTAGCCAGGATGGTCTCGATCTCCTGACCTTGTGATCCACCTGCCTCGGCCTCCCAAAGTGCTGGGATTATAGGCTGAGCCACCGCGCCCAGCTAACACAAGCTCATTCTTCTTCTGAGGCTAACACGAGCTCATTCTTCCTAACATGAGCTCGTGAAGATGTGGATCCACTTATTCTTCTTCAAACTGAGATATAATCCACATACCATAAAATGGACCATGCCAACTAGGATGGCTGTGATTGTTAAAATAAAACAAACGGACAGGAAGTATTGGTGAGGATTTGGAAGAACTTTCCTGTATTGCTGGTGGGAATATAAAATGGTGCAGCTGCCTTGAAAAACAGTCTGTGGCCGGGCGCGGTGGCTCAAGCCTGTAATCCCAGCACTTTGGGAGGCCGAGGCGGGCGGATCACAAGGTCAGGAGATCGAGACCACAGTGAAACCCCATCTCTACTAAAAATACAAAAAATTAGCCGGGCGGCGGTGGGCGGGCGCCTGTAGTCCCAGCTACTCAGGAGGCTGAGGCAGGAGAATGGCGGGAACCCGGGAGGCGGAGCTTGCAGTGAGCCGAGATCGCGCCACTGCACTCCAGCCTGGGCAACAGCGTGAGACTCCGTCTCAAAAAAAAAAAAAAAAAAAAAACAGTCTGTGGCCAGGCGCAGCCTGTCATCCCAGCACTTTGAGAGGCTGAGGAGGGTGGATCACAAGGTCAGGAGATCGAAACCATCCTGGCCGACATGGTGAAACCCAATCTCTACTAAAGTACAAAAAAAAAGTTGGCCGGGCGAGGTGGCGGGCGCCTGTAATCCCAGCTACTCAGGAGGCTGAGGCAGGAGAATCGCTTGAACCCGGGAGGCGGAGCTTGCAGTGAGCTGAGATCGCGCCATTGCACTCCAGCCTGGGCAACAGAACGAGACTCCGTCTCAAAAAAAAAAAAAAAAAAAAAAGAAAAAGAAAAAGAAAAAAAAGAAAAGAAAAGAAAGAAAAACAGTCTGGTAGTTTTTCAAAAAGTAAAAAGTAAAACACAGAGTTACTACTCTATGACCCAGTGATTCAATCACCCCTGGGTGTGTACCCAAGAGAACAGAAAACTTCTGATCACACAAAAACTTGTATGTGAATGTTCACAGCAGCAATATTCACAATAGCAAAACGTGGAAAAAACCCAAGTGCCCAGCAACTGATGAACAGATCTGCTTCTTACTCAGCCGGCGATGGAAGATAAGTCTTACACCTTTTAAATCTGTCTGTATTCAGCGTCTGCGCTGTGTGTGTCAGAGAAAGGGGTTTCAGGGAGCCTAGACATCTCAGAAGAGGAATGGAGGTATCTAGAGGATATAGGGAACCACGGGGAAGACCTCACATTGTTTTGCTTTCTTATAATTCTTAGAATTCTCAGAAGCCACCACTGAACTGACCGTCTCACTCACAAACAAAGTCTTCACAACTGGTGAGTCACCAGGCATTTCATGCTCAGCAGAAAGGAGTGTGAGGACGGAGCTCTCTCTTCCACTACCTAAGCCTATAGGCTTTTAATCGCTTCACGGAACTGTCTGTCTCTTCCCAGGAAAGTCCTTGGTGTGAGGATAGAGCATGGGCGCAGAGGGGAGCTCTGGGGTTCAGGAGGAGGAGCATTTTGGGTATTGGGGCCATTTCAAAGACGGCGGGGCCAAGGCTGTGGTGGGAACACCGCCAGCTATCCCTACACACTGTTCCCAGGATAAAGTTCTAGGCCTTTGGACTTGGCTGTGATCCGAGTATTTAATCTTGCTCCCCGCTGTGTCCAGGCAGAGCCCGCGCTCGGACGCACAGACCGTAGGTAGAGCCCGCGCTCAGACGCACAGACTGTAGGCGCCTGGACCTAGAACATCTTCTAACCACTCCAGGCCTCTGCAGATACGCTTTCCTCAGTCTCTTTCCCCTTGCCTTTCCTGGAAAATCCCCATTTCCTTCCAGACTAAACACCTTCACGGATTCCCTAATAGGTGAGGTATCTCCATTGGGCCCACGGGACTCTTGCTTTCATGAGGTACCTGATCCGAGAGTTCTATTTTTATTTTTTAGAGGTAGAGTCTTGCTCTGTCACCCAGGCTGTAGTGCAGGGGCGAGATCTCGGCTCGCTGTAACCTCTGCTGCCCGGGTTCAAGCGATTCTCCTGCCCCAGCCTCCAAGTAGCTGAGATTACAGGTGCCTGCCACCACGCCTGGCTAATTTTTGTATTTTTAGTAGAGACGGGGTTTCAGCATCTTGGCCAGGCTGGTCTTGAACTCCTGACCTTGGGATCCACCCGTCTTGGCCTCCCAAAGTGCTGGGATTACAGGCGTGAGCCACTGCGCCCGGCATATCCCAGAGAGTTCTAACCCTGTGATGGGGTCCTTCTCTATCTTCAGTTCAGAACCTCCCAGTCACCCTCAGGATGCAGTTCCAATTCGTCAGCTTGCTATTCCATGAGCGTAGATATCCAGCCACTGTTGATCCCTCCAATCTTGTCTGCGTACCTTCCATTCATTCCCACGCTGTTCTCAGCCCCGCACAGTCACTTGAATCTCTTCGGGAGGTTTCCTAACCTCTCCTGACTCTGCATCCAATCTACTTGCTCTGCCTTTTCTTCCATTTCCCCATGGCCTCAATTCCTCACGAAAGCCTTGGCCGTCCAGGCTGGATTGGTGGCTTCCTCTGCTCTTGCTCAGTGTCTTGTGGGCTGTCTATTACAGCAATTTTCACAGTGTATTAAAATTATCGCTTTGCTGTCGTCCCTGCACTTTGGGAGGCCAAGGCGGGTGGATCACCTGAGGTCAGGGGACCAGTGTGGCCAACAGGGTGAAACCCTGTCTCTACTGAAAATACAAAAATTAGCCAGGCGTGGTGGCAGGCACCTGTAATTCCGGCTACTTGCAAGGCTGAGGCAGGAGAATCGCTTGAACCCAGGAGTTGGAGGTTGCAGTGAGCTCACTCCAGCCTGGGCAACAGAGTGAGACTCCATATTAAAAAAAAAAAAAAAAAATCGCTTTACTTCTCTGTCTCCTCCAATAGTCTGGGAACCGCAGATGGACAATGTCTTATGTTTTTGTTGTTGTTGTTTTGAGACGGAGTCTCACTCTGCTCACTCTGGGATCTGTGACTTCGGCTCACTGCAACCTCCGACTCCTGAGTAGCTGGGACTGCAGGCGCCCGTCACCACGCCCAGCTAATTTTCGTATTTTTAGTAGAGACGGGGTTTCACCTTGTTGGCCAGGATGGTCTCCATTTCTTGACCTCAGGTGATCCGCCTGCCTTGGCCTCCCAAAGTGCTGGGATTACAGGCGTTCAGCCAGTGCCATGCCTGGCCTGACAATGTCTTATTAATATGTGGGTTCCCATGGCCCAGCACATGGCTGAGTACCTGGCCAGTCTCAGGAGAAACTCGAGAAATAAGAGAACTGGCACGTATGAGGTGCCCGTATGTCAAGCACCGTGCTTTATATTACTACCGTTATTATTATCTTGACTTTCACATCAACCTATGAGGGATCTCGTTAATTTTATTGGACACATGGGGAAACCGGCTCACAGATGCTGAGTCACTTGCCAGATAGCTCACATCTAACAGGTGATAGAGTTGGGGTTCAAATCTGGAGGACAGCCTGACTCTATAGTTCATGCTTTTTTTTTTTTTTTTTTTTTTTTTGGACAGGGTCTTGCTCTGTTTCCCAGGCTAGAGTGCAGTGGTGCAATCCTGGCTCACTGCAGCCTCGACCTCCCAGGGCTCAGGTGATCTTCCTGCCTCAGCCCCCACTGAGTAGCTGGGATTACTGGCACGTGCCACCACGCCTGGCTAATTTTTGTATTTTTTGTAGAGATAGGGTTTTTCCATGTTGCTGAGGTAGGTCTTCAATGCCTGGACTCAAGCCAGCCTCCCACCTCAGCCTCCCAAAGTGTTGGGATTACAGGCATGAGGCACCGTGCCCGGCCCATGCGCTTCTTAAATGCTGTGGAATTCGACCTCCCCACGTGTGTGTGTTCGGAGTAGGCATGGTGATGGGAAAGGGAATATGGTTTCATTTCACACTTAGCCTTTTTTTTTGTTCCCAGAGACTTCTAGGAGTATCACCGCCAGTCCAAAGGAGCCAGGCTCTCCAGCTGGTGAGTAAGTCGTCCTCTCCAGACCCCCTTCCTTCTCACCCATCTCTTCACCCGAAGCCAAGTCCTTTGTCTACACAGGGGCTGCAGCTCTCAGCTCTTGGGTTCCAGTGTGTAGAGTGAAGGCAGAATATCAGCGTATGGGGTTCAGAATTGCGCATTAAGACCAGGCGGGAAGGTTGAGATTTTAAAAAGGGTCAGAGAAAGGGAGATGCCATCTCTTCCCCACCCCTTATAACTGTCTTCCCTTTTGCAATACATCAGGCAAGGAGGCGGCATCGGTGTCTGGGGCGGAGTTAGTTGTCTCAGAGCCTTGTGAGAGCACACGAGGGAGAGATGCTACTTAGAGAACTGGGGGCATCTGGCCCTGACACCTACTCGGGAGGGGACGAACCCTCCAGGAAAGAGAATGGCACCCCAGCTAGTGGAGAATAACAGGCTCTCTGAGAAGCCCAGGATGTGGCTTGGAGAGGGTCCTGGAGGTGGGCTTTTTCACCCGCTCCTGCCTGTCCTCATTCCTCCAGGTCCCACCCGCCAGTACTACACCAAGGGCAACCTGGTCCGCATATGCCTCGGGGCTGTGATCCTAATACTCCTGGCAGGGTTTCTGGCAGAGGACTGGCACAGCCGGAGGAAGCGCTTGCGGCACAGGGTCAGGGCTGTGCAGAGGCCGCTCCCGCCCCTCCCGCCGACCCGGAAATCACACGGGGATCAGGATGGAGGCCGACCGGACGTTCACAGCCGCGGGTTATGTTCATGACCACTGAACCCCAGGCATGGTCGTATCCAAGGGACGGATCATGGCATGGGAGGCGACTCAAAGACTGTGGCGTGTGTGGAGCATGGGAGCAGGAGGGCAGAGGCTACAGGGTGGAAAGGAGGCCATGCTGCCTCCTCCTGGTGTTCCATCAAGGAGCCGTTCAGCCGGTGTCTGTCTGTCCGGCTCTCTGAGGGCACCTCCGTTTGGGATGGAAGGAATCTGTGGAGACCCCATCCTCCTCCCTGCACACTGTGGATGACCCGGTACCCTGGCTGGACCACATACCGTCCTCTTTCTTCAAGCTTCTCTAATACGGGCTCCACACGGACCTCTAACGTTCCCAGCTCTCAGGGCTGACGCTGTTCCCTCCTCTGTGCAGGACCTCCCGTGCTTCCCCTTGGCCGTCTGTGCTCTTGTCTCGTGTCCCCCCAGAAACTCTCACCCTCACTCCATCTTCCACTGCAGTCTAACAAATCTCCTTTCGGCTCTCAGAACGGGCCGTGCAGGCAGTTTGGGTACGTCATTCGTTTTCCTTAGTATAAAACTAGCACGTTGCCCTCTTCCCTTCACATCAGAAAACAACATCGGCCTGTGCAACATGGTGAAACCCCATCTCTACCAAAACAACAAACATTAGCCAGGTGTGGTGGTGCATCCCTATTCTCCCAGCACCTCAGGGGCAGAGGTGGGAGAACGGCTTGAGCCTGGGAGGCAGAGGTTGCAGTGAGCTGAGATCACACCACTGCACTCCAGCCCGGGTGACAAAGCCCGACCATGTCTCAAAAAAACAAAGTGATGAATATGCTAATTACCCTGATTTGATCAAAACACATTGTACACATGTATTGAAATATTGCTGTCTACCCCATAAATATGTACAATTATGTATACATTTTTAAAATAATAAAAATAAAATAAGATAATGCACCATCTCTACCCCTCTCATATTTACTTTCTGAAGGAAATGTTAGGTCTTCTCAAAGTAAAGTTCTATACTTATTATCGCATTAGGCATTTCTTGACCATCTAATGTGTGTAAAACTGTACCACTGGGTCGGCTGCAGTGGATCATGTCTGTAATCCTAGCACTTTGGGAGGCCAAGGCAGGAGGATCACTTGAGCCCAGGAGTTCAAGACCAGCCTGGGCAACATAGTGAGATCCCATCTCTACTTAAAGAAGATAAAAATTTTTTTAAAAAAGGAAAAGAATGGCCGGGCGCAGTGGCTCAAGCCTGTAATCCCAGCACTTTGGGAGGCTGAGACAGGCGGATCACGAGGTCAGGAGATCAAGACCATCCTGGCTAACACGAGAAACCCCGTCTCTACTAAAAAATACAAAAAACTAGCCAGGCGAGGTGGCGGGTGTCTGTAGTCCTAGCTACTTACTCGGGAGGCTGAGGCAGGAGAATGGCGTAAACCTGGGAGGCGGAGCTTGCAGTGAGCTGAGATCGCACCACTGCACTCCAGCCTGGGTGACTGAGCAAGACTCCGTCTCAAAAAAAAAAAAAAAAAAAATTTTTTTAAAAAAGGAAAAGAATGACTGGCCACGATGGTTCATGCCTGTAATCCCAGCACTTTGGGAGGTTGAGGTGGGTGGGTCACTTGGGAAAAGACAGAATGATGGCAGAAAGAAGCTCCAGGACGACGGCTGTGAATCAGGGCTAGTGAGCACACAGCTTGGGTGAAGGGGGAACGGGAAGGGTGCTCAGAGAAACCTCCAAATGTAAGAATGGGTCAATTGGCCGGGCGCGGTGGCTCAAGCCTGTAATCCCAGCACTTTGGGAGGCCGAGACGGGCGGATCACGAGGTCAGGAGATCGAGACCATCCTGGCTAACACGGTGAAACCCCGTCTCTATTAAGAAATACAAAAAAAAAAAAAAAAAAACTAGCCGGGCGAGGTGGCGGGCGCCTGTAGTCCCAGCTACTCGGGAGGCTGAGGCTGGAGAATGGCGTAAACCCGGGAGGCGGAGCTTGCAGTGAGCTGAGATCCGGCCACTGCACTCCAGCCTGGGTGACAGAGCGAGACTCCGTCTCAAAAAAAAAAAAAAAAAAAAAAAAAAAAGAATGGGTCAATTATTTGTCTTAACATAGTGGAAAATCATACTGAGATGCTATCAGAAGACAGATGAAAAATAATTACAGAGGTCAAGTAAACTAAGTAGATTTTTAAAAGACAAGTATAGCCTAGGCAGAGTGGCTCACACCTGTAATCCCAGCACTCTGAGAGAATGAGGCAGGATCGCTGGAGCCTAAGAGTTCAAGACCAGCCTGGGCAACATGGTGAAACCTCGTCTCATATACAAAAAATACAAAAAATTAGCTGGGTGTGGTACCACATGCCTACTCTCAGATACTCAGGAGGCTGAGGTAGAGGCTGCAGTGAGCCATGATTGCACCACTGCTCTCAAGCCTGAGACCCTGCCTCAAAAGAAAACAAAAATAAAGAGCAAATATAAACGTTAGGGGAACAACAACCACAAAAATAAAAGAAGCAAGTTATATTACCTGAAAATTCTCAGCTGTGAATATCTGTGGGTATAAAAATGTGATACTGGCCAGGCGTGGTGGCTCATGCCTATAATCCCAGCGCTTTGGGAAGCTGAGGCGGGCGGATCACCAGGTCAGAAGATCGAGATCAGCCTGGCCAACATGGCGAAACCCCGTCTCTACTAAAAATACAAAAATTAGCCAGTCGTGGTGGCACACGCCTGTAGTCCCAGCTACTCAGGAGGCTGAGGCAGGAGAATCACTTGAACCCAGGAGGTGGAGGCTGCAGTGAGCTGAGATTGTGCCGCTGCACTCCAGTCTGGGTGACAGAGTGAGACTCTGTCTCAAAAAAAAAAAAAAAAAAAAAAAGTGATACTGAATATTGATGTGCAGACGTAGACATAAACATTGGAAAAGAAAAAACAGTAAGAACACTGTAGAAGAACTAAGTCCCTGCCTATTATGATAGGAATCCAGTAAGTGTAAGCTCATTCACATGGTTACACATTTTTAGAAATCTAATATTAACAAGTTCCTAAAGAAAACAGCTAAAAGTGGGTGTCTCTTAGGTGGAGCAATGGAAGAGACGGTTGGTTAAGCCATTGCATTTTGTACACACCCTTTTAGTGCTATTGGAATTTTTTAAGGAGGTGCGTGTATATTTTTGTAACACAATAAATAATAACAGTATACATCTTTTCTTTTAGACGTATGCTGTTAAACAGAATTAAGAACAGGAAGTCTCACAATTGTTTCCTTCAGGAGAGAAGACTTACTGACGGGAGAGAGTTCTGAAACACCTGCTTTGCATACTGCTTTGCATACTGCTGCCTGAAGGGGTGGCCTACCCCTCCACACCTGTGGGCGTTTCTCGTTTCTCGTTAGGTGGAACGAGAGACTTGAGAAAAGAAATGAGACACAGAGACAAAGTATTAAGAAAAAGTGAGCCCAGGGGACCGGCGCTCAGCATACAGAGGACCCACACCCGCACTGGTCTCTGAGTTCCCTTAGTATTTATTGATAATTATCTTTACCATCGTAAAGAAAAGCAAGTGGCAGGATAATAGGATCATTGTAGGGAGAAAGTCAGCAGTAAGACATATGAATAAAGATCTCTGTGACATAAATAAGTTTAAGGAAAAGTGCAGTGCCTTGATATGCATATGCAAACATCTCCATAAACCTTTTTAGTGCATAAAGAGCAGCATTGCGCTAGCAAGTCCCACCTTCAGCCCTAAGGTGGTTTTCTCCTTTCTCAGTAAACAGAACATACAATCGGGTTTTATACCGAGATGTTCCATTGCCCAGGGACGGGCAGGAGACAGATGCTTTTCTCTATCTCAACCGCCAACAACCGCCAAGAGGCCTTCTTCCCTCTTACACTAGTCCTCCTCAGCACAGACCCTTCACGGGTGTCAGGCTGGGGGACGATCAGGTCTTTCCCTTCCCACCAGGCCATATTTCCGACTAGCACATGGGGAGAAACCTTGGACAATACCTAGCTTTCCTAGGCAGAGGTCCCTGCGACCTTTGGCAGTGTGTGTGTCCCTGGGTACTTGAGATTAAGAGAATGGTGATGACTTTTAACCAGCAAGCTGCCTTCAGGCACTTGTTTAACAAAGCACACCCTGCACAGCCCAAAATCCTCTGAACCTTGAGTCACCACAGCACATGTCTCTTGCAAGGACAAGGTTGGGGGTAGGGTCACAGATTAACAGCATCTCAAATACAGAACAAAATGGAGTCTCTTATGTCTACTTCTTTCTATATAAACAGTCTGATCTTTCTTTTTTTTTTTTTTTTTTTTTGAGACGGAGTCTCGCTGTGTCTCCCAGGCTGAAGTGCAGTGGCGTGATCTCGGCTCACTGCAAGCTCCGCCTCCCGGGTTCACGCCATTCTCCCGCCTCAGCCTCCCAAGTAGCTGAGACTACAGGCGCCCGCCACCACGCCCGGCTAGTTTTGATCTTTCTTTCTTTTCCCCACAGCTACTTAGTTAAAAAATCACATTTTAACTTCAAAATAGCCAAACTAATAACACAGTTTTAAAATAACAAATTATTACAAATACTACAAAATAATAAAAATACAAGTAGTGCAGAGTGGAAATGCAAAGCTATGTGTGCTAGAAGGCTAACATTCAATTAGTCATAACAAACAACAACAAAATTAAAGAACAAGATAGTTGTGACTTACCTTGGTCAATCACTTTCCATAGTAATTCAAGCCACTCAATCCAGGACCTCGTCTCGGAAAATGAAGGAAAAAAACAACAGAAAATAGTGCAGAGGTCTCTGGTGTTCAAAGAATAGGCGCTGGAGGGAGATGTGGGTGCCTGAGCTGTGCCCAGTCACTCAAAGGGCACACCTGACGCTACCTGTTCACTTGGGGCTTCGGAGGAGAGGGGAAAGACAAGTTCCTCCCCGCCACTTTCTGTCTCCTGACTTCACTTCTTGCTTACCTTCGACTGCACTTCCTGGGTTGACATCACTTCCTGTCTTCTGACTTTGCCTCCTGTATGACCTCACTTCCTGTCTTCTACCTTCACTTCCTGTCTTCTGACTTTACTTCCTATGACATCATTTCTAGTCTTCTACCTCCACTTGGTGTCTTCCGACTTTCCTTCCTATCTTGACTTCACCTCTTGTTTTTTTTTTGTTTTTTGTTCTTTTTTTCTTGACAGGGTCTCGCTGTGTCGCCCAGGGTGGAGTGCAGTTGTGTCAGCTTGAAACCACTTTTGCAAAATTGTGACTGAGACAGTGAAAGAGACTTAACTGACTCCATTTTGCTTGTAACCTCCAAGCTGTCCTTTTTCATTCCTGGGTGTAGGCTGAACTTTGGGAGAAACTTAGTTTATGGTTTAAACAAAGACGATAGCCCTTTCCCAAAGCAGACCTCTTTGTTGCCTGGGGACTAGATTGGCTCTGTAGGACTAACATTAGCCACGAGATTAGAAATTATGATTTAGGACATGCAGCTGGAGGCTACAAGATTGTGACCCTCCCTAAACTGCTTCTAAGGTAAGTGCTTGAGATAATTTGCAGAACCTGCACTGGATGGATCAGCTGGCACCACCCATCTCAATAAACTGGCCCATCTTATCTTTTGGCCTCCACTCAGGAACTGACTGAGTTCGAGAAGATAGCTTTGACTCCCATTATTTCATCCCTGACCAATCAGCACTCCTAGCCCACGGGCTTCCCACCCACCAAGTTATCCCTTAAAACAACTCTTCTACCTGAATGCTGGGAGACACGGATTTGAGTAATAAAACTCTGGTCTTTCGTAGAGCCAGCTCTGCATGAATTATTTCTTAATGCAACTCCCCTGTCCTGATGAATCAGCTCTGTCTAGGCAGTGGGCAAGGTGAACACCTTGGGTGATTACAATCTTGGCTCACGGCAACCTCCACCTCCTGGGTTCAAGCGATTCTCCTGCCTCAGACTCCCAAGTAGCTGAGATTACAGACGTGCAATACCATGCTCAGCTACATTTTTTTTTCTTTTTTTTTTGAGACGGAGTCTCATTCTGTCCCCCAGGCTAAAGTGCAATGGCTCACTGCAACCTCCACCTCCCGGGTTTAAGCGATTCTCCTGCCTCAGCCTCCAGAGTAGCTGGGACTACAGGCATGCGCCACCACGCCCGACTGATTTTTGTATTTTTAGTAGAGACAGGGTTTCACCATGTTGGCCAGGCTGGTCTTGAACTCCTGACCTCATGTGATACACCCGCCTCCGCCTCCCGAAGTGCTGGGATTACAGATGCGATTCACGGTGCCCAGCCCACCCCGTCTTCCGACTTTACTTGCACAGAGCACATTTACATGATCTACACTGCTGTGTCTGGGTGAGTAGGGAACCTTGGAGAAGCCTGGGTCAGGGCTCAGGGAATGAGCAAGGGAGGAAAGGATGTGGTGACCATGGAAGTTGTTTTGGGGCACAGGATGTGATCTGCGATTGGGGATTGTGAAAAGACCCTCACTGAGGTCTTTCTTCCAGAGCTGCGGCTGAGCCAGAGGATCTCGAACAGCAGAGAGTTCTTCCTATTCTCGTGGAAGAGTTGAGGATTGAGAGAAGCCGGGCATAGCTCATGGGAGTGACCTTAGCTTTGAAAAGCCTGAAAATGAGACTTGGATGTAAAGTGGTGTGTGTGTGTCTGTGTGTGTGTGTGTGTGTGTGTGTGTGTGTGTGTGTGTGTTGAGGGAGGGGATCAGGCTCTCATGACCTCTGGCTTTTTGCTCCAAGAACACTTCCCAAGCCCACCATCTGGGCTAACCCAGCCCTCGTGGTTCGCGGGTGCAAACATGGCCATGGAATTGTGGAATGATTTTTTTTTTGTATCCTTAGCAGAGAACCCAGTGAACTTTGTTCTTGATCATCAATGTGATGAGATCCAGAATTCAGTGATGGGCAGAGGCGAGTGGTCACAGGTGAGGTGCAAGAAAACGGACAGCAGTACTTGTTCATCTCTGGACATAGATTCAGACACATGAACGAACCCATGTGCCACAGGTTTCACTGTTTAGTACTTGTAGGTCATGAGGGTAGGCATCTGAGAGCTTGGCTAGATGAAGTACACACGTTGGAGAAAGATGGTTAATTATGAGTGCAAGTTTACATTTTATGGGCCCCTGGGGTATCAATACAGTTCCTAAATGGATGTGGATACATTACTCAATTTCTTCTGTAAAGATGGGGCTAGATTACAATGGTTCTCAACCTAAGAAAATTGTGCATTTCAGCAAACATTTTCTAATGCCCAGAGACATTTTTGATCGTCATAACTGTGAGGATGCTGGTATCTAGTGGGTAGAGGCTAGGGATGCTGCCAAACATACTGTAAATGTAGAGGACCATGTTTCCTAACAAGTAGTGATCTGACCCCAAATGTCAATAGTGTGGAGAATGAGAAACCTTTAGTGTCCTTTTAAAACTCTGTGCCTCTCTTTTACCAACTTCGCCCCTTCCTCCCAGTGAACCTGAGAATAAAGATGCTCTGGAGGCCGCCCACGGTAGCTTATTTCTGTAATTCCAGCACTTTGGGAGGCTGAGCAGGTGGATCACTTGAGTCAGTTCAAGACCAGCCTGGCCAACATGGTGAAATCCTGTCTACTAAAAATGTAAAAATTTGCCGGAGTGTGTGGGCAGAATTGGCTTGAACTTGGGAGGCGGAGGTTACAGTGAGCCGAGATCACGCCACTGCACTCCAGACCAGGAATGGAGCAGACTGTCCAAAAAAAAAAAAAAAAAAAAAAAAAGAGGGGGGATGCTCAGGGAATGACTATCTGTGTGGGTAAGGAGACCTTGAAACAGGAAACCTCAGAAGCCCACACATAGCAGTGGAACTGGAAAGGATGGAGGGTTTAAAGTAGTATCAAGAACTTGGATCTAGTCCGGTAAAAAATAAACCAATGGCCCCTGATGAAGAAATGAAAGTGTAACAGTGAGATTAATTTTTTTTAGTTTTCAATTTAAATATTGCTGGGTGCGGTGGCTCACGCCTGTAATCCCAGCAGTCTGGGAGGCCGAAGCCGGGTGGATCACAAGGTCAGGAGATCGAGACCATCCTGGCTAACACAGTGAAATCCCGTCCTTACTAAAAATACAAAAAATTAGCCGGGTGCGGAGGCGGGCACCTGTGGTCCCAGCTACTCGGAGGCTGAGGCAGGAGAATGGCGTCGGCCTAGGAGGCGGAGCTTGCAGTGAGCTGAGATCGTGCCACTGCACTCCAGCCTGGGCAACAGAGCAAGACTCCGTCTCAAAAAAAAAAAAAAAAAATTAAAACTACTTTTGGCCAGGTGTGGTGCTCAGACATACAATCCCACCACTTGGGGAGGCCAAGCTGGGCAGATCACCTGAACTCAGTAGTTCAAGACCAGTCTGGGGCAACCTGGTGAAACCCTGTCTCTACAAAAAATACAAAAATTACCTGGGTGCAGTGGTGCACACCTGTGGTCCCAGCTACATGGGAGGCTGAGATGGGAGAATGCTTGAAATGAGGAGGCGGAGGCTGCAATGAGCTGAGATTGTGCCATTGCACCTCCAGACTGGGCGACAGAGCAAGATTCTGCCACAAAGAAAAAAAAAAAAAAGATGTTGCTGGTGCGGTGACTCACGCCTGTATCCAGCACTTTGGGAGACCAAGGCAGTGGATCACCTGAGCTTAGGAGTGCTGCGATTACAGATGTAAGCCACCGTGCCTGGCAATAGAAAAGATTCTATTTAAGTTGGAATTTTTAAAAAGCAAATCAGAGCAATGACATGGTTGTATATGAGCTACACTGAAGCACCTAAAATATTGGATGTGGTAGGAGAAATCCTCTGGCAAGTAACACTCAACAGGCAGTGATCCATGCAGGTCAAGAAATAACAAGGCAGGCTGGGCACAGTGGCTCACACTTGTAATCCCAGCACTTTGGGAGGCTGAGGCAGGAATATTACTTGAGCCTGGGAGTTTGAGACCAGCCTGGGCAACATAGTGAGACCCTGTCTTCAAAAAAAAAAAAAAAAAAAAAAAAAAACCCCAAGAACTGGCCTGGTTTGGTGGCGTGCATCTGTAGTCACAGCTACTGAGGAGGTTGAGGCTGGAGGATCACTTGAACCTGCAAGCTTGAGGCTGCAGTGAGCTATCGTGCTGTTGTACTCCAACCTGGGCACAACAGAGCAACACTCACTCTTGAGGAGGAAAAAAAAAAAAAAAAGGCTGGGTACAGTGGCTCATGCCTATAATCCCAGCACTCTGGGAGTTTAGGTGGGCGGATCACTTGAGGTCAGGAGTTTGAGACCAGCCTGGCCAACATGGTGAAACCTCATCTGTACTAAGAATATAAAAAAAAAATTTAGCTGGGTGTGGTGGGGAATGCCTGTAATCCCAGCTACTCGGGAGGCTGAGACGGAATCGCTTGAACCTGGGAGGTTGTAATGAGCTGAGATCGTGCCACTGCACTCCAGCATGGGCAACAGAGTGAAATTCAAATCTTAAAAAAAAAGAAAAAAAAAAAAGGAAATACCAAGAAGGCAAGGCAAAGATTGACAAGGCAATAGAAATCAATGCAATTAAACACTGTCAACTTCCCCCACCCCCAGGTTCTCCCCAGTAAGATACCTCTTTTTTGTTTTGTTTTGAGACAGTCTCGCTCTATCTCCCAGGCTGGGGCTCACTGCAAGCTCCGCCTCCCGGGTTTACACCATTCTCCTGCCTCAGCCTCCCGAGTAGCTGGGACTACAGGAGCCCGCCAACTCGCCCTGCTAGTTTTTTGTATTTTTTAGTAGAGACGGGTTTCACCGTGTTAGCCAGGATGGTCTCGATCTCCTGACCTCGTGATCCACCCACCTCGGCCTCCCAAAGTGCTGGTATTACAGGCGTGAGCCACTGCGCCAGGCCAAGTATCTTTTCTCTAACGTGTCAAAGTCCATTATTAAGTAACAGCTTCATCTGTGAATGCTCTCACCTTTATTTCTCTCAATGTACCGTGATACAGATATTTCATATGTAACAAAGTTAAGGACGTGTGCACGTGTAAAACAGAGGCAGGACCATGGCTGAAACATCTAGCCTAGCAGTGAGCTCATTATCCCTGAGGAGTGGGGGCGGGGGAGAAGAGGAGTCACAGGCAGTTCACCAACACCTGGAAAATCAACGACTTCATGGAGAATGAACGACTCTGGGGGGATTCAGATCATGAAGTCATGAGAAGAAGGTCTTTTTTTCCAGGGATCATGTTTCTCAGTATCAATAATCAGTTGTGGGTTGTTTTCTTCTATTTCTTCCAGCAGCTATGGAGTTCATCATTAAAGTCATCTATTTTCAACCTGGGGTACAATGGGGGAGGAAAAGGTTACTTTGTGTATCAAGAAGATTTTTCAAATTCCCAAGTACCTGAAATTCTGTTGAGGTCACCTTTCCTGATTATTCTACGTGGCAAAGGAGTGTTCCATATTGATTTTCTTTTTTCTTTGAGACAGTCTGTCACCCAGGATAGAGTGCAGTGGCACCATCTCAGCTCACTGCAACCTGTGCCTCTAGGGTTCAAGCCATCCTATCCTCTGCCTCCTGAGTAGCTGGGACTACAGGCGCCTGCCACCATGCTCAGCTAATTTTGTATTTTTAATAGAGTTGGGTTTTACCACGTTGCCCAGACCGCACCTGGCCTGATTGCTTATTTATTTTTAAATATAAAATGAGGCCAGATGTGGTGGGTCATGCCTATAATGCCAGCACTTTGAGAGAGTGAGGGGGGCAGATCACTTGAGGTCAGGAGTTTGAGACCAGCCTAGGCAAGATGGTGAAAGTCCATCTCTACTAAAAATATAAAAGTTAGCTGGGTGTGATGGTGCATGCCTACAGTCCCAGCTACTTAGGAGGCTGAGACAGAAGAATCACTTGAACCTGGGAGGTGGATGTTACAGTGAGCCGAGATCGGGCCACTGCACTCCAGCCTGAGCAAGAGTGAGATTTTTGTCTCAAAAATAAATAATAAAATGTAAAATTAAAGACTTTCATTCTCTTTTAATCCTTTTTTCATTCCTCTTATTCTTAACCATGTTGATCTGATAGAGAAAAACATAACATCAGGTTAACCTTGTAATGGTATCAAGCCACTGTGTATTTTAGATTCTTGTTTATCATGCACAGAAAATGCAATTGCTGAGTGTGGCTGGGCTGTAGCTCTAATACCTGCCTACCTGCTCCATCACCCACTTTGGCAACTTCTACTCAGTAGACCCAAGAGTACCAGGTTAAACAGAGGAGATGCAGGCCAGGCGCGGTGGCTCACGCCTGTAATCCAGCACTTTGGGAGGCTGAGGCAGGCGGGTCACCTGAAGTCGGGAGTTCGAGACCAGCCTGACCAACAGGGAGCAACCCCGTCTCTACTAAAAATACGAAATGAGCCAGACGTGGTACACATGCCTGTAATCCCAGCTACTTGGGAGGCTGAGGGAGGAGAACTGCTTGAACCCGGGAGGCGGAGGTTGCAGTGAGCTGAGATAGCACCATTGCACTCCCAGGCTGGGCAACAAGAGCAAAACTCCGTCTCCAAAATATAAACTCAAAGCTTAAAAAGCCCTTAACGTCCATATGTCTTTTGACTTGCAAAGTATCTTAAGCTCAGTTTCATGTTAAGTAAATAAGTAATCTATGTTTCTTCTACATAAAGATTATTTTAAGCCAGCAGTAGACTATATTGCTTGTGAGAATTTCTGGAAGTTCCCACACTTCTAGGAAGGGGCTCTTGGTTCTTGCCATGGTATTGAAATACAACTCAGGCTGGGTGCGGTGGCTCATGCCTGTAATCCTAGCACTTTGGGATGCTGAGGTGGGTGAACCACCAAGGTCAGGAGTTTGAGACCACCCTGGCCAACACGGCAAAACCTGTCTCTACTAAAGATACAAAAATTAGCTATGTGTGGTGGTGTATGCCTGTAATCCCAGCTACATGGGAGGCTGAGGCATGAGAATAGCCTGAACCTGGAGGCGGAGGTTGCAGTTAGCTGAGATACTACACCACTATACCCCAGCCTGGGCAACAGAGCGAGACTCCATCTCAGAAAACAAAACAAAACAAAACAAAACCCAAAACCCCAACAAAACCCAACAAACAAAACACAATCCAATGACAACTGGCTCTCATGAGCAGGTAGACAAGCAGCCATGGCTGGGTGCAATGGTTCATGCTTACAAACCTGGCTACTCAGGAACTGAGGTAGGAGGATTGCTTGAGCCCAGGAACTGGAGTGAGCCATCACTGTGCTGCTGGACTCCAGCCTGGGGAACAGAGTGAGTTCTTGCCTCCAAGGAAAAAAAAGGGCTGGGTGCAGCGGTTCACGCCTGTAATCCCAGCACTTTGGGAGACCGAGGCGGGTGGATCACCTGAGGTCAGGAGTTCGAGACCAGCCTGGCCAACATGGTGAAAGCCCGTCTCTACTAAAAATACAGAATTAGCTGGGTGTGGTGGCGGGAACCTGTAATTCCAGCTACCGGATCAGTCTCCTACAGCAGGTCCACGTCATTATGTTTCCCCTAAACCTACCACCCCGGAGGAAGCCTGATGGGGAAGTAAATAGATCATACCGGAGTGTCTGGAGGGTGCCAGGACGTGTCAAGGTTTTAAACAGCATCTTCACTCCACTAGACCCCAAGGGATTCTGGCCCAGGTCCAGAGTGAGGAGGCTCTGGTTGCAGCTGAGGGCAGAGCAGAGGTCTTCACAACTGAAGGGAGGGATGGAACATCCCCACAACCTGAGGAAACACAGAAATGAGCACGTTGATTCAGCTGGTGCTGATCGATGCCCTCCCATAAGCCAAGCACAGCCTCGGGGCTTGGGGACCTGCATGACCAACACAAGTCTCAGGCCGGGCGCGGTGGCTCACGCCTGTAATCCCAGCACTTTTGGAGGCCCAGGTGGGCGGATCATGAGGTCAGGAGATCGAGACCATCCTAGCTAACCTGGTGAAACCCCGTCTCTACTAAAAAATACAACAACTAGCTGGGCGAGGTGGTGGGCGCCTGTAGTCCCAGCTACTCGGGAGGCTGAGGCAGGAGAATGGCGTGAACCTGGGAGGCGGAGCTTGCAGTGAGCTGCGATCCGGCCACTGCACTCCAGCCTGGGCGACAAAGACTCCGTCTCAAAAAAAAAAAAGAGACTTAGACATAGACTAGAACTATTCCTTTAACTACCTTAGTGAAAGCTCGGTTGACTCTATCCGAGTCCTCTCAATTACCGGTTTCACTGATTGCTTCACGTTAGCCACAGATTCAATAAGGTCTAAGTAGAGGAAGTTGAACTTATAAGTTAACTCACCACAGACATCTCAAGTTGCACAGTGGTTTGCTCAAAGCCTCGCACAGGACCTTCACTCCGGTAACTCCTATGTGATTCAGTCCAAGATCCAAACACGACAGGCTTGATTTTTCTTGGAGGAGCTTTGCGAGACTGCAGCAGCCATCGCTCGTGATGTCGCAGTTCCACAGCCTAGAAATCAACCACAGGAAGAAAGCAAGCCTGAACCTGTGAGTTCTCACTGGTGTGAGGCACCTTCGACTGAGCCATGGGTTTTAGACACGCTTAAGAGACAATGGTGACCTGGAAATGGAATCATGGGGTGGCGTGGTGGACAGAAGAATGGCCTCCCCAAGATGTCCAAGTCCCAACTTCTGGCACCTGTGAGCAAAAGGGACCTTGCATCTTAGATGTGACTGAGCTTCTTAAGATGCTTTATATCCTGGTTTATTTGGGTAGGTCCAGAAATCACAGGGATCCTCGTAAGAGGGAGCTGACAGTCAAAGCCAGCAGGAGGTGACGTGATAAGGGAGCCAGAGCAATGTTTGAAGATGCTCTGCTGAAGCTGGAGGAAGGGCCACAAGCCAAGGAATGCAGGTGGCCAACAGAAGCTGGAGAAGTAAAAAGGATCCTCAGCGGGCACGGTGGCTTACTTCAACCTCCGCTTCCCGGGTTCACGCGATTCTCATGCCCCAGTCTTCCGAATATCTGGGATTACCGGCACATGCACACGTGTTTTGTGTGTGTGTGTGTGTGTGTGTGTGTGTGTGTGTGTGTGTGTATACCACCACACCCGGCTAAATTCTGTATTTTTAGTAGAGACAGGGTTTCACCATGTTGGCCAGGCTGGTCTCGAACTCCCGGCCTCAGATGATCTGCCCATCCTGGCCTCCCTAATGTGCTGGGATTACAATTCTATTTCCTAAATTCAGTTGCTAGAGAGGTAGTGTCTCACAGGCAAAAGACGCCAGCTCAGACTCCAACGTATCTGGTAGTAAGATCTGAGATACCAACCAACACAGCTTATCAGACAGATTTCACCTTAAGTTCTGTTTTCTTTCTTCTGTCTCAATAGAGTTCTAAACCTTAACTATAATTTGAACTATAATGCCCACATATCTTTGGGTCCCAAGCAAAGCATACCACTAGCCGAGGGACACAGGACCTGGAAGGGCCATGGAAATAGAGGGCAGATTGGAGCCCATGACGACAGAGGAGTGAAAACATCCCCCCCAATCTTAAAGGTTTGTGAATGTACAGAAACTTTTTTTTCTGAGACAGTCTTGCTCTGACGCCCAGGTTGGAGTACAGGAGCACAGTCTCGGCTCACTGCAACCTCCGCCTCCTGGGTTCAAGCAATTCTCTGCCTCACCGTCCTAAGTAGCTGGGATTACAGACATCCGACACCGCGCCTGGCTAATTTTGTATTTTTAGTAAAGATGGGGTTTCACGTATTAGCCAGGCTGGTCTTGAACTCCTGACCTTATGATCCATCTGCTTCAGCCTCCCAAAGTGCTGGGATTACAGGCGTGAGCCACTGTGCCAGGCCACCTGTCCTGTGATTTTAGTATTGACAGGAAGATCATATTGAGCATGTAGCTTCCAATAGCTTCCGTCGGGAGTCTGAGCCTACGATGGCCCAGAAGACTACCTGATTTGCAAATCATTAAATAAATGAATTTCATTTACAACCAATTGCATGCAATTTATGTTACACAATGATAGGTCTAAGAACACAGATTAAGAGAAAACACAGCGTGGGGCGAGATGGCTCATGCCTGTAATCCTAGCACTTTGGGAGGCCAAGGCAGGCAGACCTCTTGCGCTCGGGAGTTTGAGACCAGCCTGGGCAACATAGCGAGACCCCATCTCTAAAATACATGCATAAAGAGGAGGAAAAAAAAAAAACCCCTGAAAACCAGCTACATTCTCCAAATCCCTATAGAATATTACTACTACTACTACTACTACTACTACTACTTATACTTTTTTTCCTATCACCATCTCCCCAGATCTCACCAGTTGTAACCATTAGCATCATGCTTGGGGCATTTAGAGGAATTAAGTGTTCTCATAACCACCCTACTAGAACCCAGAGGTGGGGGGCTATGTACATACACACACACACACAGGCAGCCAGCTATGTACACACACACACACACACACACACACACACGCAGCCAGTGCAGACTTACACCAAGGCCTGCAGTTTACACTCGGGGTAGCTCAGGCCCTCACACAGAAACTTCACCCCTGTATCCTTGAGGGAGTTCTTGGCCAAGCACAGGTGTGTCAGCTCCCGGCTGACCACCAAAACAGCAGCAAGGTCCTTGCAATTGGCTTCTGTCAGGTGACAGTTTTCCAACCTGCAAAAGAATCACAAATGGCAACATGGTTGACATTTCCAACTTCAACCTTCTCGGCTATCTCCAAATGCCAGCATCCGAAAGCCCCTTCTTGTGAACGCCCCACCCTCTGTCACACGCTGGTGATCCTATGAAGGAACAGGAAGGAGAGAACAAGATTCACAAGCCATCGGCCTGGATCTAAACATGGGAGCAGCTGTTCACATCAGCGAGAGGTTGCAAACAGCCAAGTCAGGCGTGACCACGCCCCATCTATGGCCCCAGACCGAAACCACAGCTGCTCTGGAAGAAAAGGAGAGACTTACGACAACCTCTGCAGGAAGCACTTTGGGTGCCTCAAAGTTGTGTACAGCAACTTGGCACCCTCATCCAGGAGCTCATTGTCGGAGAGGTTTACGCACATCAGGGACCGGTTGGCTTCAAGGGCCAAGGAGAGATCAGCCCACTGCTGGGTGGTAGCAGAACAAGACACCAGCCTGTGGGAGAAATGGGAACAAGTTTTTTTTTTTTTTTGAGACGGAGTCTCACTCTTGTTGCCCAGGCTGGAATGCAATGGCAGTCTCGGCTCACAGCGACCTCCGCCACCCGGGTTCAAGTGATTCTCCTGCCTCAGCCTCCCGAGTAGCTGGGATTGCAGGCATGCACCACCACGCCTGGCTGATTTTGTATTTTTAGTAGAGACGGGGTTTCTCCACGTTGGTCAGGCTGGTCTCGACCTCCTGACCTCAGGCGATCCACCTGCCTTGGTCTCCCAACGTGCTGGGATTACAGGCGTAAGCCAGCGTGCCCAGCGGAATACGTTATTCTTGAGAATCTAACCACGGAATCATCTTTGATTTATATCTCACTGGTTATGTTACACCCCGACTTGAATTATCTGGAACAGTGATTGTCAAAGGATGGTCCCCAGACCAGTGGCATCAGCATTGTCCAGGAATCAGCTGGAAATACATGAGCCTCAGTCAACCTGACTCAAATGTTGGATGCAGAGTCCACTAACCTATGTTTCATTGTTTGGTTTTTTGAAAGGGAATTATGCTGTGTCACCCAAGCTGGAGTGTAGTGGCATAATCTCAGCTCACAGCAACCTCCGCCTCCTGGATTCAAGCAATTCTCCTGTCTCAGCCTCCCGAGTAGCTGGGATTACAGACGCGTGCCATCTTGCCTGGCTAATTTTTGTATTTTTAGTAGAGACGGGTTTTCACCATGTTGGCCAGCCTGGTCTCAAACTCCTAACTTTGGCCAGGGCAATGGCGCACACCTGTAATCCCAACACTTTGGGAGGCCGAGGCGGGCAGATCACGAGGTCAGGAGTTCGAGAAACCCCAGCTCTACTAAACATACGAAAATTAGCTGGGTGTGGTGGCACATGCCTGTAGTCCCAGCTACTCAGGAGGCTGAGGCAAGAGAATTGAACCCAGGAGGTGGAGGTTGCAGTGAGCCAAGATCACTCCACTGCACTCCAGCCTGGGTGACAGAGCAAGACTCCATCTCAAAACAAACAAAAACTCCTGACTTCAAGTGATACACCAGCCTAGGCCTCCCAAAGTACTGGGATTACAGGTATGAGGCACCATGCCCAGTCCACTAACCTACGTTTCAAGGTGCTCTGTGTTCATCCGGAAAATGTGTTAGAATAAATTCGTAAGAAATGAGTGGCTGGGCATGGTGGCTCATGCCTGTGATCCCAGTACTTTGGCAGGCCAAGGCAGGTAGATCATGAGGCGAGGAGTTTAAGACCAGGCAGGACAACATGATAAAACCCCGTTTCTCCTAAAAATACAAGAATTAGCTGGGCAGGGTGGCACGTGGCTGTAATCCCAGCATTTTGGAAGGCAGGTGGATCACTTGAGGTCAGGAGTTCGAGACCAGCCTGGCCAACATGGTGAAACCCCATCTCTACTAAAGACATAAAAAAATTAGCTGGGCGTGGGGGATTCCCGAGGTCAGGAGTTTGAGACCACCCTGGCCACCAGCATGGCGTAACCCTGTCTCTACTAGAAATACAAAAATACAGCTGGGTGCCTGTAATCCCAGCTACTCAGGAAGTTGAGGCAGGAGAATCACTTGAACCTGGGAGGCCGAGGTTGCAGTGAACCAAGATTGTGGCACTGCACTCCAGCCTGGGAGACAGAGCAAGACTATCTCGAGAAAAAAAATAGATTAGTGACCCACATCTTTAATTTACTCGATGTTCCCCCTCACCCTGTACCCCATTATTCTCATGTAACAAAGAAAAGAGGGTAATTGTAGTGGTTAGTGACGACAGCAGCCACTATTGAATACATGGGCTTGGATCTGGTTTCATTTCAACCTTCAAATACCTGTGAGACGTACAGTATCCCATTCAACTGACAAGAAGATCCCATTAAGCAGCCTAGGATCGTTATCAGTAGAGCCAGAGCAATTTTTTTTACCCTCGAGATGGAGTTTTGCTCTGTTGCCCAGGCTGGAGTACAATGGCGTGATCTTGGCTCACTGCAACCTCTGCCTCCTGGGTTCAAGCAATTCTCCTGCCTCAGCCCCCACGAGTAGCTGGGATTACAGGCGCCTGCCACCATGCCCGGCTAATATTTTTGTATTTTTAGTAGAGATGGGGTTTCACCATGTTGGCCAGACTGGTCTTGAACTCCTGACCTCAAGTGATCCACCCACCTTGGCCTCCTGAAGTGCTGGGATTACAGGCATGAGCCACCGCACCCGGCCAAGATTTTTTTTTTTTTTTTTTTGAGATAGTCTCGCACTGTTGACCAGGCTGGAGTGCAGTGGTGCGATCTCAGCTCACTGCAACCTCCGCCTCTCAGGTTTAAATGATTCTCCTGCCTCCGCCTCCTGAGTAACTGGGACCACAGGCGTGTGCCAACACGCCTCGCTAATTTTTGTATTATTAGTAGAGACGGGGTTTCACCATGTTAACCAGGCTGGTTTCTAACTCCTGACTTCAAGTGATTCACTGCCTCAGCCTCCCCAAGTGCTGGCATCACAGACGTGACCTACTGTGCCTGGCCCAGGGGAACAATGAGGCCAGTGACCACCTACTATGCCAGTGTGGCCAAGTGAGGCTCCACGGAACCCCATGACACATGATGGTTCCCATCACCTGGGCAGCCACGTGGAGAGCTTCCCAAGGGGAGAGCTCTCAAACCAGAGGACTAACAGAAAAGGGGCAACTCGATGTTCCTGAAGGGATCTTGCTTGAAAAATGTCAATAGCCGGTATTCTGAATCATCATACAGGAGAAGCATGAACCATGGTGAATGATCTCTGACAGAAGCTAAAGATTCTGGGCTGGGCACGGTGGCTCACGCCCCACTTTGGGAGGCCGAGGAGGATGGATCACCTGAGGTCATGAGTTCGAGACCAGCCTGGCCAATGTGATAAAACCCCATTTCTACTAAGAATGCAAAAATTAACCAGGTATGGTGGCGCGTGCTTGTAATCCCAGCTACTCAGGAGGCTGAGGCAGGAGAATCACTTGAACCCAGGAGGTAGAGGTTGCAATGAGCTGAGATCATACCATTGCACTGCAGCCTGGGAGACAGAGCAAGACTCCATCTCAAAAAAAAAAAAAAGGGAACATAAGGATTCTGGCTGGGCACAGTGGCTCACGCCTATAATCCCAGCACTTTGGGAGCCTGAGAGGGGGCAGGTCACCTGAGGTCATGAGTTCAATACCAGCCTGGCAAATGTGCCAAAACAGTCTCTACTAAAAGCACAGAAGTTAGCCGGGCGTGGTGGGTGCCTGTAATCCCAGCTACTTGCGAGGCTGAGGCAGAATTACTTGAACTCGAGGGGCAGAGGTTGCAGTGAGTCAAGATTGTGCCATCGTACTTCGGCCTGGGCAACAGGGCAAGACTTCATCTAAAAAAAAAAAAAAAGATAAAGATTCTGGGAATTTCCTCAGATTCAGGGTCCTCACGTATGGTTGTCCAGGTTGTTTACTGCTCAAGGCAGGTAGAAACTCAAGTTCAGCCCATGCTGTCTCCTGGGTCATCTGCCTTTAGTACTGTTTCTAGTCAGAATAACAAACTTTTTCTCATTTACACAAAATTGCCACATAAGCTTGTGGTAGCTGTTCGTAGGACGAAGGATTTTAACGATGAAGAGATATACCCGAGATATCGCAGGTTACATTCTGGGTGTCTCAAGACCTCACACAATGCAGGAAGCATATCCTTCTGGTCAGTGCCTTGAAGGGTCAGATGCGTTACAGTCTTGTGACCTCGAAGAGCTAGGCAGAGGTTCCGATAAGCATCAGCTGGGAAAATGTTTTTGAACCTAGGGAAAACAAAAGTGAAATCTTGAGTGTCTATACCTGTGGGGAAAAGAAAGATCAGCCTGTTTCTGTGTCTATACAGAAAAAGTAGACATCAGAGACTCCATTTCGTTCTGTATTTGAGATGCTGTTAATCTGTGACCCTACCCCCAACCTTGTCCTTGCAATAGACATGTGCTGTGGTGACTCAAGGTTTAATGGATTTTGGGCTGTGCAGGATGTGTCTTTGTTAAACATGTGCCTGAAGCAGCTTGCTGGTTAAAAGTCATCACCATTCTCTTAATTTCAACTACCCAGGGACACGCACATGGCCAAAGGTCGCAGGGACCTCTGCCTAGGAAAGCTAGGTATTGTCCAAGGTTTCTCCCCATGTGATAGGCTGAAACAATGCTGCTAAAAGGTTTATGGAAATGTTTGCATATGCATCTCAAGGCACAGCATTTTCCTTTAAACTTATTCATGTCACAGAGATCTTTGTTCATGTCTTACTGCTGATTTCCTCCCTACAATGATCCTATTGTCCAGCCACTCCCTTATCTTTAAGATGGTAAAGATAATTATCAATAAATATTAAGGGAACTCAGAGACAGGTGCCGGCGTGGGTCCCCTGGGCCCACTTTTTCTTTCTCTATACTTTGTCTCTGTGTCTTTTTTTTTTTTTTTTTTTTTTTTTGAGACAGTCTTGCTCTGTCGCCCAGGCTGGAGTGCAGTGGCCGGATCTCAGCTCACTGCAAGCTCCGCCTCCCGGGTTCACGCCATTCTCCTGCCTCAGCCTCCCGAGTAGCTGGGACTACAGGTGCCCGCCACCTCGCCCGGCTAGTTTTTTGTATTTTTAGTAGAGATGGGGTTTCACCGTGTTAGCCAGGATGGTCTCGATCTCCTGACCTCGTGATCCGCCCGTCTCGGCCTCCCAGAGTGCTGGGATTACAGGCGTGAGCCACCGCGCCCGGCCTCTCATTTCTTTTCTCAAGTTTCTCCTTACCTAAGGAGAAAGGCCCACAGGTGTGGAGGGCAGGCCACCCCTTCATATACCTATGTTGTACTTAAATAGAAACTAGGGGCTCAATATATTTAGGCTATTTTTTCCATGTTTAATTTTTTTATTTTAAATCTTTATATAGATTTTTTTTTTGAGATGGAGTCTCACTCTGTCGCACAGGCTGGAGCGCAGTGGCACGATCTCAGCTCACTGCATGCGAACTCCACCTCCCGGACTCAAGTGACTCTTACCTCAGCCTCCGAAGTAGCTGGTATTACAGGCGCCCGCCACCACGCCCGGATAATTTTTGTATTTTTAGTAGAGGCGGGGTTTTGCCATCTTGGCTAGGCTGGTCTGGAACTCCTGACCTCAAGTGATCTGTCTGCCTCGGCCTCCCGAAGTGTTGGAATTACAGGTGTGAGCCACTGTGCCCGACCCCTAAAAATTACTTTCTACGATTATCCCACGAGACAAATTTAAGGACAGGACTCTCAATTCTCTGTGTCTTCAGCACTTAAGAGTCTACGGGCCGGGTGCGGTGGCTCACGCCTGTAATCCCAGCACTTTGGGAGGCCGAGACAGGCGGAACACGAGGTCAGGAGATCGAGATCATCCTGGCTAACACAGTGAAAACCCGTCTCTACTAAAACCACAAAAAATTAGCTGGGCATGGTGGTGGGCGCCTGTAGTCCCAGCTACTTGGGAGGCTGAACCAGGAGAATGGCATGAACCCGGGAGGTGGAACTTGCAAGTGAGCTTGTGCCACTGCACTCCAGCACTCCAGCCTGGGCGTCAAGTGAGACTCCATCTCAAAAAAGTCTATGACAGGAATCTGAATATTGTTCCAATATTAAAATTGTAACATTTTCACACCCTTAGGATTTTAGTTCATGAATTAGTGTCTACTTACACCAGTCTCTGGAGATGACAGTTGTCAGAGGCTATCTGTTCACACAGGATCTTTACTAGGGAGGCACTCAGAAAGCTATTATTGATTTCTAGACCCATCAGATCCTTATTTGAGCCAAATATGGAACAAAGGTCCGTCCAGAAAGGAAGCATGTCCTGATCATCCTGGGATCTACAGGGAAGAGAAAGGGGTTACATCAATGTAGGTTCATCATGGCTGAAGTATTTAGGGTTTCTCTGGGCATATACCCCTAACAAATAAGTAGAAATAAGTATAACTGAAAGCTGGACCATTTAATCTTTTGGCACCACCATCAGACAACTCAACAGCCAAGAAGCATCACAGAAGAAAGAACCTACTCTTACACAAAAATTCAACAGAGGGTAAAAATAAGTTAAAATGCTAAGCACATCATTGATAAAAGAATACAGGCCGGGCACGGTGGCTCATGCCTGTAATCCTAGTGCTTTGTAAGGCTGAGGCGGTGGGATCACCTGAGGTCAGGAGTTCGAAACCAGCTGGCCAACATGGTGAAACCTTGTCTCTACTAAAAGTACACAAATTAGCCGGGCGTGGTTGTGGGTGGAGGTAATCCCAGCTACTCGTGAGGCTGAGGCAGGAGAATCAGTGAACCTGGTGGGGTGGATGTTGCAGCGAGCTGAGATTGGGCCACTTCACTCCAACCTGGGCAAAAGAGTGAAACGCTGTCACCAAAAAAAAAAAAAAAAAAAAAAAAAAAAAAAAAAAAAATCGTGAATATACATGTCAATAAAAAATATTTAGGCAGGGTGTATGGTACCTCATGTCTGTGATCCCAGTTCAAGACCAGCCTGGGCAACATAGTGAGATTCTTTCAAAAAAAAAAAAAAAGTCACTTAAGTTAGCTGAGCACGATGGTGCACACCTAATACTTGTCATCCCAGGTACTCAGGAGCTTCACTTGAGCCCAGAAGTTTGAAGCTGCAGTCAGCTATGATTGCACCATTGTACTCCAGCCTGAGCAACAGAGCAAGACCCTGCCTTAAAAAATAGATATTTGGGCCGGGCACGGTGAATCATGCCTGTATTCCCACTTTGGGAGGCTGAGGCAGGTGGATCACCTGAGGTCAGGAGGAGTTCAAGACCAGACTGGCCAACATGGTGAGACTCTGTCTCTACTAAAAATACAAAAACTAGCCGGGCATGGTGACAGGTCCCAGCTACTCAGGAGGCTGAGGCAGGAGAATCGCTTGAACCCGGGAGGCAGAGGTTGCAGTGAGCCAAGATCGTGCCACTGCGCTCCAGCCTGGGTGACAGAGCAAGACTCCGTCTAAAAAAAAAAAAAAAAAAAAAAAAAAAAAAAAAAAAAAAAAAAAAAAAAAAAAAAAAAAAAGAGTCCAAAAAGAGGGAATTCCTGAGCCTAAGCCACAGCACATAGGAGGCTCTGGCCTCTTCCTAAGGGCGCATGGGATGAGGTTAAACGACCGGTCGAGTGAAAGGTTCCTACCTCTCAGACTCAGCGTTGGATTCAGAAGCAGCGACATTCTCCGGGAGCGTCTCCTTTTTTATCACCTGCAGTGACATTTTCTGCAAGTTTTGACAGTGCTTGAAGCAGAATGAAGACGGCGCAATGTCTACTGCATTTAAGTGCAGGGATATTTCTTTGAACTGAGCCATCACCTCCTTCACCAGCTCGTCCTCCTGAGACTCGTACAGACAGCAGAGGAGCTCCCTCAGGTCTGCCGCCGTGAAATGTCCATTCTTACGACTTACGTCGCATCGCAGCAATTCCTGTTTGATCTCTGGTGACATCCGCCAGCCAAAGGTGGCCTCCAACTCCTTGACTCTCTTCTCATTAGCCAGGCCGAACAAGAAGCGTCCTGCCTGGATCAGGTCGGGGTTCTTGAGTCTTTCTTCTCTGGAAAGCAGCTTCTGCACGTCCCCAATGTCCCAGGCATGGCCGTCCCTGTCCTCCTCCTCCTCCTTCTCCAGGGCGTAGAACAGCGCAGTGAGAAACTGCTGGAAGCTGAGGTGGATGAAGGAGTAGCAGCCTTTGGCGACTCCGTCCTGGCGGAGGATGTCTCTGTCCAGGAACGGGCGGAGGTCGGACTCCTGCACCCCAGCGCTTTCCAGGTCCTCTCCGTGGAGCACGGACATCTGCGCCCACAAACCCTGCGCGGCCAGGAGGCTCAGCGCCCGCAGCGCGCCCCGGAGCTGTGCGCCCTGCGGGAACTGGCTGCAGAGGAAGCGCAGGAACAGCCCCGTGCTGGTGAGGCAGGTGGGGGCCGGGTCCTCCCCCTTCTCCATCTGCAGCTTCAGAGTCGTGCACACGATCCAGCACACCGCGGGCGCCGAGCCCAGCTGGAACAGGGCCGCGTTGCTCCTCATCAGCTCAAAGGCACGCATGGCTTGGTCCTCGTCTCCAAAGTGTCTCAGGAAATAGGCCCTCCTGTCCTCCTCCAGGAACCCCTCCACCCTTATGTAGATGGGCTGCTCTGCCAGGAACCGGAGGTCCCTCAGGGCCCTGGGCCGCGTGGTGACCAGCAGGGTTGCCTTGGGTAACATCTTCCTCTTCAGCAAACTCCCCAGGAGGACCGGCACCGGCTTCTGCTGCTCCCAGTCCCCGCAGATGTCCTGGATCAGCGCCCCAGGTGGGGCTCCCAGCTCATCGAAACCGTCAATCACGAACAGGATTTTCTGTGCTTGGGCTAGGATGTGTGGAATGTCATCCTGCAGTTCAGGCCAGTCCCTGAAGACCATCTGTGCAAAACTGCACGGGCCCAGGCGGCTGAGCTCCCTGCAGCTGAGGTAGAAAGCGTATTTGAATTTCTGGATGAGGTTGTCCTCTGTCCAGTCCAGCATTAGTTTATTGGCCAGCGTGGTTTTCCCAAGGCCTGCAGGACTGTGCAGCACCACTGTGTGTGAGAAGGGCCCGGGAAGCACCCTGGGGTTGCTGAATGGGATCAGCATCCTGTATCTCTCAGCCATAACATGGACCTCTTTGCTGTCTCCAGGCCAGCTCTGCCACATCTCCCGGAACTTCGTCTTCAGTATAAGCCTGTACCTATCCTCGTTATCTTTGGTGAGGAGGGAAGGGAGAGAGGACGTAATCAGTTATCCATAGGGAAAACCAGAACAACAAAATGTCTTGTGTTGGCCGGGCGCGGTGGCTCACACTTGTAATCCCAGCCCTTTGGGAGGCCGAGGCAGGCCGATCACCTGAGGTTGGGAGTTCAAGACCAGCCTGACCAACATGAAGAAACCTTGTCTCTACTAAAAAATAAGTTAGCTGGGTGTGGTGGAGCACGCCTGTATTCCCAGCTACTCGGGAGGCTGAGGCAGAATTGCTTGAACCTGGGAGACGGAGGTTGCAGTGAATAGAGATCATGCCATGGCACTCCAGCCTGGGCAACAAGAGTGAAACTGTGTCTCAATACATACATATATACACACATACATACATACACGCTTTGTGTTACATAGGAAAGTTAAGAGGACTTCAAGTTTATAAAGAGAAACCTGATCCCAACCTCACTGCAGGAAGATACAGTACAGACCTGACTTTTCTCCTTTGACTTTGAAGACTTCAGTCAGGACAGTGACGTCTTCCTCTGTTTCTGTGCACTCTACAAAATACAAACTCATGTGAACGTGACACAAAATCAGGTGTATTTCCTGTGGAGTCCCAGTGAGGGAAAAGGAGTGAAGCTGACAGGACCAGCTGGAGAAACAGATAAAGCAAGTGAGCTACAAATATGTTTTCCGGCCAGGTGTGACGGCTCATGTCTCTAATCCCAGCACTTTGGGAAGCTGAGGTGGGCGGATCACTTGAGCTCAGGAGCTCCAGACCAGCCTGGCCAACACAGAGAAACCCCGTCTTTACTAAAAATGCAAAAAGTAGCCAGGCGTAGTGGTGCACAGCTACTTGGGAGGCTGAGAGACGCGAGGTTGCAGTAAGAGATCCAGCGCTCCAGCCTGGGCAACAGAGCAATACTCCATCTCAAAAAAACAAGCTTTCTTCCATGGTTTAGAACATACAAACAAGAGGAAACAGGTCAGCTATAGGTTTTTTTTTTTTTTTTTGAGACAGTCTCACTGTTGCCCAGGCTGGAATGCAGTGGCGCAATCTTGGCTCACTGCAACCTCCGCCTCCCGGGTTCAAGTGATTCTCCTGCCTCAGCCTCCCGAGTAGCTGGAATTATAGACATGCGCCACTGCGTCTGGCTAATTTTTGTATTTTTAGTAGAGACGGGGTTTCGTCATGTTGGCCAGGCCGGTCTAGAACTACTGACCTCAGGTGATCCACCCACCTCAGCCTCCCAAAGTGCTGGGATTACAGTGTGAACCACTGTGCCGGGCCAGGTCTGCTTTTATGGTCCAGGAGATATGGTCCAAGATGTTTAGCCTTCCTGACCAGATCACACACACAGCTGCTCACAAACTCCCTGCTTGCCATGAAACGCCTCAGTTTATCAAACATGTCTGCTGAAGGAAGATGGCAAGTTAAACCACCTGTTGACTTGACCTTATCAATCAGCCCAAGCCCTATTCTATAAAATCTGCAGGAAGCTGTGGTCTCCTGGCAGTGAGTTTCTCCCGTGACAGCCTGCCTGCTGTGGTCTGCCAATGTCTTCTCCTACTTTCTCCAATAAATCTGCCTTTCTTTACATACGATTGTCTTGATAAATTTCTTTACCCGTCGTGCCACCAAGCACTATTCACCCCCATTTCCTGCTGAAGCATGACAGACAGCAGGCTCCACAGTGCCCCCAGTCTCACTGGAATTCTTTGTCGAGATTGTGTGCTGGGAATGACATTGGCCAAGTCTAGAGAGATGAACAGGGCAAACAATTCCTTCAACCAAGTTACTCACCTGTATTCTACAGAGCCATAACAAGAAATACTTGCTCTATCAAAAGTCAATGTGGGCTAGGTACAGTGGCTTACACCTGTAATCCTAGCACTTTGGGAGGCCGAGGCAGGTGGATCACCTGAGGTCAGGAGTTTGAGACCAGCCTGACAAACACGGTGAGACCCTATGTCTACACAAAAAAAAAAAAAAAAAAAAAAAAAAGAAAAAGAAGAAAAAAAAAAAAAAGAAAAAAAAATTAGTCAGATGTGGTGGTGGGCGCCTATAATCCCAGCTACTTGGGAGGCTGAGGCAGGAGAATCGCTTGAATCTGGGAGGTGGAGGTTGTGGTGAGCCAAGATCACGCCATTGCACTCCAGCCTGGGCGACAAGGGAGAAACTCTGAAGACAAAACAAAAATGCTACCAGGAAGATAAAAGGGAACATGAGAGTAAGCAAGGCTGATCTTAAACTGATCGCAGGCTGGGTGTGGTAGCTCCCACCTGTAATCCTAGCACTTTGGGAGACCCAGGTAGGCAGATTACTTGAGGTTAGGAGTTCCAGACCAACCTGGCTACCCTGGGGAGACTATCTGTACTAAAAACACAAAAGTTAGCCAGGCATAGTGGTGGGCACCTAGTAGTCCCAGTACCTGGGGAGGCTGCGGCAGAAACATCCCTTAGAACCTGGGAGGCAGAGATTGCAGTGAGCCGAGATCGAGCCACTGGACTCCAGCCTGCGTGACACAGTGAGACTCCATTTCCAGAAAAAAACCCAGAAAAAACCTGATCACAAAGTCAGCTCAGACAAGTCACCTACCCATAAGACTCAATTTTCTGAGTTGTTTAAAGTTGTCTGAACAATGTACCATAAATACATTTATACCTGTCAATTTTTTTTTGAGACGGAGTCTCGCTCTATCACCAGGCTGGAGTACAGCGGCACGATCTCAGCTCACTACAACCTCTGCCTCCCAGGTTCAAGGGATTCTCCTGCCTCAGCCTTCTGAGTAGCTGGGACTACAGGTACACGCCACCACACCCAGCTAATTTTTGTATTTTTAGTAGAGACAGGGTTTCACCATGTTGGCCAGGATGGTCTCAATCTCTTGAACTCACGATCCACCCGCCTCAGCCTCCCAAAGTGCTGGGAGATTACAGGTGTGAGCTACCGTGCCTGGCCACCTGTCAACTTGTAAAGAATTTAAAGAAGGCCGCGTGCTGTGGCTCATGCCTGTGATCCCAGCACTTTGGGAGGCTGAAGGGGGCAGATCTCTTGAGGTCAGGAGTTCGAGACCAGCCTGACTGAGATGGTGAAACCTGTCTCTACTAAAAATATAAAAAAAGAAAAAATTAGCTGGGCTTGGTGGCGTGCACCTATAATCCCAGCTACTTGGGAGGCTGAGGTAGGAGAATCACTTGAACCTGGGAGGCGGAGGCTGCAGTGAACAGGGATGATACCACTGCACTCCAGCCTGGATGACAAGAACAAGACTTCGTCTCAAAAAAAAAAAAAAGGCCGGGCACGGTGGCTCAAGCCTGTAATCCCAGCACTTTGGGAGGCCGAGGCGGGTGGATCACAAGGTCAGGAGATCGAGACCACGGTGAAACCCCGTCTCTACTAAAAATTACAAAAAATTAGCCGGGCGCGGTTGTGGGCGCCTGTAGTCCCAGCTACTCGGGAGGCTGAGGCAGGAGAATGGCGTGAACCCGGGAGGCGGAGCTTGCAGTGAGCCGAGATCGCGCCACTGCACTCCAGCCTGGGCTGGGCGACAGAGTGAGACTCCGTCTCAAAAAAAAAAAAAAGAATAGTGGAGGAAAAGATCGGAAAGAGACAGGGTTCTTAAAAGGAACAGGAGAAAGCAGCAAGAAGGGGCAGCTTCCCTCAGCTGACTCCAGCATTGGAGGTCCTGTCACCCACCTAGTGTTCCTGCTTTGAAACGCTCCAGCATTTCCTCCACGTCTACAGGTTGTCTTTCTTTCCGTGTTATCCCTGAAGAAAAAGGGGGGGCATTACTGGCCTGTTGCTGTGCTGGCAGTGGGCCTCCAAGATGGCTCAAGTGGACCACTGAGTCTCAATAGTTAAGCCAAGATGAGGTAATTTACTAGATTACTAAAAAGGATGTTGACGAGGTACTGGATGTAAAAGTGCAAGTACATTAGGCCATGATCCCAGGTTTAGGTGCCTTTCTGGTGTGAATTCTAAAAGTTCAGAACTCAAGGCGTGAAAAACAGACACACAGACACACACACAGTACTCACGCATAAGGTCACTGGAAAGGCTTTGAGGATTAACTGCCTAATTTTTCTTGAGACGGAGTTTCGCTCTTGTTGCCCGGGCTGGAGTGCAGTGGCGCGATCTCGGCTCACTGCAACCTCTGCCTCCTGGGTTGAAGTGATTCTCCTGCCTCAGCCTCCTGAGTAGCTGGGACGAGGGTCATGGGCCACCATGTCCGGCTAATTTTGTATTTTTAGTACAGACAGGGTTTCTCCATGTTGGTCAGGCTGGTCTCAAGCTCCCAACCTCAGGTTATCTGTCTGCGGGGCCTAACTCCCTAGTTTCTGATGAGGTAGATAAATTTAAAATGAACTGGGAAAGAATATAAGTACAAGGTGGAATCAGTCGGGTGGGGTGGCTCACGCCTGTAATCCCAACACTTTGGGAGGCCGAGGCAGGTGGATCATTAAGTCAGGAGATTGAGACCATCCTGGCCAACAGGGTGAAGCCCCATCTCTACTAAAACACAAAAAATTAGCCGGGCATGGTGGTGCCCAACTGTAGTCCCAGGTACTTGGGAGGCTGAGGCAGGGGAATTGCTTGAACCCAGGAGGCGGAGACTGAAGTGAGCCACGATTGCGCCACTGCGCTCCAGCCTGGCAACAAAGCAAGTGAGACTCAATCTCAAAAAAAAAAGAAAAAAAAAAAGAACAAGGTGGAATCCTAATATCTGCAGCTTAACCCTGGATAATGAAGGGGCGAGTCCATGGAACTCCTGAAAAGATGCTGGGGAGGCAGCTGGACACGGGCATGTGACCCTCAGGACAAAGGCTGGTCTGAGAAGAGCCTTTAGAGTCTTCACCACCAGGCGTGGTGGCTCACGCCTGTAATCCCAGCACGTTGTGAGGCTGAGGCAGACAGATCACTTGAGGCCAGGAGTTCGAGACCAGCCTGGCCAACATGGTGAAACCCTGTCTCTACTGAAAATACGAAAATTAGCCAGGCGTGGTGGTAGGCACCTGTAATCCCAGCTACTAGGGAGACTGAGGCAGAAGAAATCTCTTGAATCTGGGAGGCGGAGGCTGCAGTGAGATTGTACCACTGTACTCTAGCCTGGGTGACAGAGCAAGACTGTCTCAAAAAAGGTCTTCATGAGGCTGGGCACAGTGGCTCACACCTATAATCCCAGCACTTTGGGAGGCTGAGGCAGGTGGATCACGAGGTCAGGAGTTTGAGACCAGCCTGACGAACATGCTGAAATTAGCTGGGTGTGGTGGCGGGTGCCTGTAATCCCAGCTACTCTGGAGGCTGCGGCAAGAGAATCGCTTGAACCTGGGAGGCGGAGGTCAGGTTACAGTGAGCCAAGATCATGCCACTGAATTCCATCCTGGGCAAAAGAGTAAGACTTTGTCAAAAAAATAAAAATAAAAATAATAATAATAATAAAATAAAAAGTCTTCATGGCCAGGTGTGGTGAATCATGTCTGTAACCCCAGCACTCTGGGAGGCCAAGGTGGGAGGATCACTTGAGACCAGGAGTTTGACACCGTATCTGGCAACACAGTGAAACTGTCCCCACCAAAAATACAAATATTAGTCAGGTGTGGCAGGGCACACCTGTAGTTCCAGCTACTCAGGAGTCTGAGGTAAAAGGATCTCTGAAGCCTGGAAGGTTGAGGCTGCAATGAGCTATGATTGTGCCACCGCAATCAAGCCAGGGCAACAGAGCAAGAACCCATCTCAAAAAAAAAAAAAAAAATCAGCCGGGCGCGGTGGCTCAAGCCTGTAATCCCAGCACTTTGGGAGGCCGAGACGGGCGGATCACGAGGTCAGGAGATCGAGACCATCCTGGGTAACACGGTGAAACCCCGTCTCTACTAAGAAATACAAAAAATAGCCGGGTGAGGTGGCAGGCGCCTGTAGTCCCAGCTACTCCGGAGGCTGAGGCCGGAGAATGGCGTGAACCCGGGAGGCGGAGCTTGCAGTGAGCTGAGATCCGGCCACTGCACTGCAGCCTGGGCTACAGAGCGAGACTCCGTCTCCAAAAAAAAAAAAAAAAAAAAAAATCTTCAGGATATAAATAGCTGGTAAGGGCCAGGTGTCATGGCTCACACCTGTACCCCAGCACTTTGGGAGGATAAGGTGGGAGGACTGATTAAGTTTAGTAATTCAAGACCAGCCTGGGCAACATAGCAAGACCCTGTCTCTACAAAAAGTGAAAAAATTAGCCAGGAGGGGTGGCAAGTGCCTGTGGTCCCAGCTACTCAGGAGGCTGAGGCAGGAGGATTGCCTAAGCCTGGGTGGTCAGGGCTGCAGTGAGCCATGATTGCACCACTGCACTCCAGCCTAAGTGACAGAGTGAAGTCCCGTTTCAAAAACAGAAAAGCCAGGTGTGGTAACTCACTCACACCTACAATTCCAGCACTTTGGGAGGCTGAGGTGGGCAGATCACTTGAGGTCAGGAGTTCAAGACCAGCCCGGCCAACATAGTGAAACCCCATCTCTATACATCTCTATAAAAACCACAAAAATCTAGCCAGGCCTGGTGGTGGGTGCCTGTAATCCCAGCTACTCCAGAGGCTGAGGCAGGAGAATTGCTTGAAGCCGGGAGGCGGAGGTTGCAGTCAGCTGAGATTGTGCCACTGCACTCCAGCCTAGGCGACAGAGCAAGGCTCCATCTCAAAAAAGAAGTCTCTAGCTTATCCACTTTCAAAGGCCAAGCTTACCCTTCCCCACTTTGTATGTATTTATAGATTTCCAACAAATGCTATCGTGTTTCAGCTTCCCAGGGCTTACTGCTACCCACCTGTGTGACCGGCTCCGTCCTGGGAGCAGGGATGAGAAGTCCGGCATTTCTTTACATTCTTAGTAGTCAGCAGCCTCTTCTTAAAACAAAGCCCCAAGTCCTCAAATCTCACATGAAGAATAAAAGTTATAAATGAGTAACTTACCTAATGATAAAGGCTTGTGTTTATTAAATGATTTCAAAGCTGCTTCTGAAAAAGGAAAACGGAGGGGAGATTTGCATTTTAATATAAACTCAAGATTTTATCACCTTCATAAAAGACAACACTTAGAACTGGATCACTTGGTCTTTTATATCCTCAGTTCAAAATGCTTGCAGCTTTTTTTTTTTTTTTTGAGATAGTCTCACTCTGTCACCCAGGCTGGAGTGGCAAGATCTTGGCTCACTGCAACCTCCGTCTCCCAGGTTCAAGTGATTCTGCTGCCTCAGCCTCCTGAGTAGCTGGGACTACAGGCACGCACCACCATGCCTGGCTAAGTTTTATATTTTTAGTACAGATGGGGTTTCACCATTTTGGCCAGGCTGGTCTCAAACTCCTGACATCATGATCCGTCTACCTTGGCCTCCCAAAATGCTGGGATTACAGGCATGAGCCACCGCTCCCGGCCGCTTGTATCTTTTAGCCAGCATCCTTAGATCTGCAGATAGGATCAACGCACTCAAGCCTTAGCACAATCTTCTTTGTAGTTTTAGCCTTTTTCCAGAAGATTGGCTTAGTCTGCCCACCGTAGTCACTCTGCTTCCTGGCGTAACACTGCTTCCCCTGGGCACACCAAAAGCCTTGCCCTGTGTCACTCTGTGGGGATGGTGCTTGCCACACCTCTTACAGAAAGTCCGGTGGGTTTTAGGAACATTCACCATGTTTGTGTGAGCGCGATCGGCACAGAAAGAAACTCTGCATCTTTTTCAGAGCCCAGACCCTCGTAAGTTTACAACTCTCTGGGTTTCCTCCTTCTATTTTCAAACTTGTAACATCCGGAGGCCAGCTAGAGGTAAAACCCCTTGGCTGGGCATGGTTGCTCACGCCTGTAATCCCAACACTGGGAGGCCGAGGTGGGCAGATCGAGGTGGGCAGATCACCTGAGATCGGGAGTTTGAGATCAGTCTGGCCCACATGGTGAAGCCCCATCTCTACTAAAATACAAAAATTAGCGAGCATGGTGGTAGGCGCCTGTAATCCCAGCTGCTTGGGAGGCTGAGGCAGGAGAACCACTCCTTCCCGGGAGGCGGAGGTTGCAGTGAGCCGAGACCGTGACATTCTACTCTAGCCTGGGTGACAAGAGTGAAACTTCGTCTCAAAAAAAAAAAGGAAAAAAGGGGCCGGGCCCGGTGGCCCGGTTACAAGCCTGTAATCCCAGCACTTTGGGAGGCCGAGACGGGTGGATCACAAGGTCAGGAGATCGAGACCATCCTGGCTAACACGGTGAAACCCCGTCTCTACTAAAAAATACAAAAACCTAGCTGGGTGAGGTGGCGGGCGCCTGTAATCCCAGCTACTGGGAGGCTGAGGCAGGAGAAGGGTGTAAACCCGGGAGGCAGAGCTTGCAGTGAGCTGATATCTCCACACTGCCCTCCAGCCTGGGCGACAGAGCGGAGACTCCGTCTCAAAAAAAAAAAAAAAACCAAAAACCCTCACCCATCCATTAAAGATAGGAAATATTATGCTAAGAAGTGATCTCCAACTGAAATAAAACTGGCAATTTTTACAGAAGACAGGATTTCCTTAAGGTTGAAGAGTATTCCATTGTGTAATTAATACCAATTTTTTTTTTTTTTTTGAGAGGGAGTCTTGCTCCGTCACCCAGGCTGGAGTGAAATGGTACAATCTCAGCTCACTGCAACCTCCAACTCCCTGGTTCCAGCAATCCTCTTGCCTCAGCCTCCCAAGTAGCTGGGACTACAGGCGCCCACCACCATGCCTGGCTAATTTTTTTGTATTTTTAGTAGAGACAGGGTTTCCCCACGTTGGCCAGGCTGCTCTCAAACTCCTGGCCTCAAGTGATCCACCCGCCTTGGTCTCCTAAAGTGATGGGATTACAGGCGTGAGCCACCGTGCCCAGCCTACCATGTTTCCTTTTTGAGGCTTGGGGTCCCAATAATCTCGTAACCCAGGCAGTAGGCAGTGTACCCAACGGGCACCACATTTTCCATTTATCCAGTGATGGTCACTTAGACTGACTCTGTATCTTGGTAACAGTAAATAAAGCTGAACTGGCCAGGCACTGTGGCTCATGTTTCTGATCCCAGGACTTTGGGAAGCCAAGTCAGGAGGATCAGCTGAGCCCACAGGAGTTTCAGACCAGCCTCGGCAACATGGTGAAACCCTGTCTCTACAAAAAAATACAAAGATCAGCGAGGTGTGGTGGGAGGCTATAGTGGCAGGATTGCTCGAGTCTGGGAGGTCGAGGCTGCAATGAGCTATGATTGCCCCACTGTACTCCAGCCTGAGCCACAAGGCGAGACCCTGTTTCAAAAAACAGTATAGCCAGGTGGCGGCTCACGCCTGTAATTCCAACACATTGGGAGGCTGAGGCGGTTTGATCACACAATCAGGAGTTCAAGAGCAGCCTGTCCAACATAGTGAAATCCCGTCTCTATTAAAATACAAAATTTAGCCAGGCACAGTGGCAGGTGCCTGTATAATCCCAGCTACTCAGGAGGCTGATGCAGGAGAATCGCTGGAACCCGGGGGGCAGATGAACTGAGATTGCGCCACTGCACTCCATCCTGCACGACAGAGTGAGACTCGTCTCAAACAAACAAAAAGTGTAAAATAAAGTTGTGGGGTAGAAAGTAGAGTTGTTTTAAATGCACTAGCTGGCTGGGTGCAGTGGCTCACGCCTGTAATCTCAACATTTTGGGAGGCCAAAGTAGGCAGATCACGAGGTCAGGACAGAGACTATCCTGGCTAACATGGTGAAACCCCATCTGTATTTAAAACACAAATAAAATCAGCCAGGCATGGTGGGACGTGCTTGTAATTCTGGCTACTCGGGAGGCTGAGGCAGGAGAATCACTTGAACCCAGGAGGCGGAGGCTGCAGTGAGCCGAGATCATGCCACTGCACCCCAGCCTGGGTGACAGAGCGAGATCCTCTCTCAAGAGAGAAATAACCACAGTTCATGTGCATCTTATTGTAATTTTTAATTGTCTTTGCCCCCATTATTTTTGATCTGGGATTGGTTAAATCCACAGATATGTCAGGCCAACGGTACGATCCCTGAAAGGGATAGAAACAGGTTGAAAATAAGGACCAGGACAGACACCAGAGTTGATGAAGATCTAGCACCTGTATTCAGAACAAGCAGTCCCTCTCTAAGCCTCAATGCCATTTCTTTTTTGAGACCGAGTTTTGCTCGTTGCCCAGGCTGGAGTGCAATGGCGTGATCTCGGCTCACTGCAACCTCCACCTCCTGGGTTCAAGGGATTCTCCTGCCTCAGCCTCCGGAGTAGCTGGGATTACAGGTGTCTGCCACCACGCTTGGCTAATTTTTTTATATATATATATATATATATATTTTTTTTTTTTTTTTTTTGAGACGGAGTCTCGCTCTGTCGCCCAGGCTGGAGTGCAGTGGCGCTATCTCGGCTCACTGCAAGCTCCGCCTCCCGGGTTTACACCATTCTCCTGCCTCAGCCTCCCGAGTAGCTGGGACTACAGGCGCCCGCCACCTCGCCCGGCTAATTTTTTTGTATTTTTAGTAGAGACGGGGTTTCATTGTGTTAGCCAGGATGGTCTCGATCTCCTGACCTCGTGATCCGCCCGTCTCGGCCTCTCAAAGTGCTGGGATTACAGGCTTGAGCCACCGCACCCGGCCTAATTTTTATATTTTTAGTAGAGATGCGGTTTCACCATGTTGGTCAGGCTGGTTTCAAACTCCTGACCTCAGGTGATCCACTCAAGTTGGCCTCCCAAAGTGCTGGGATGACAGGCGTGAGCCAGTGCGCCTGGCCTTCTGAAAGTCCTGGAGAGGTCGCCTGCTTCCTCCTAGGACACAGTGCGGACCGATTTCTGCTCACCTCTGAGTTCGTCCTTTGCTCTCTCAGACAGATCCACTCGATGCATCTTTTCAAAGACCTGGATGGTCGCCAACTCCGTCCAGTAGCTGTGACAGTGGCTGATGAGGATTTCCGCCAGTTGCTTCCCATCCGCCTCGTCTACCTCCTTCTGGGGGATCTTCTGGACCTCATTTCCCAGGGAGACTGTCCTGAGCAGAGACTTGAACTTGCTCAGCTCATCCTGGCTGAGCTGCTCCAGGAGAGCCTGCAGGTTGAAGTTCACCTGGGTCGAAGACACCATCTTGTCCCACGTGGGAGTTCTGAGGAGAATTAAGGGAGGAATGGAGAGGGATGGTGATCAGCACTCCTGTCTCAGTGCCAGTCCCCTCGGTGCCATGAACAAGGGAACTCTCACATTACCCTGCTTCTTCAAGAACAAACTCCCAGCCTGGGCAACACAGTGAGACCCCCATCTCCACAAAAAATAAGTTAGCAGTGGGTGGTGGTGCATGCCTGTAGTCCCAGCAACTCAGGAGGCCGAGGTGGGAGGATCGCTTGAGCCTGGGAGATTGAAACTGCAGTGAGGCTTGATGGTGCCACTGCACTCCCATCTGGACAACAGAGTGAAACCTCATCTCGTTTTACTTTTATTTACTTATTTTTGAGATAGTTTCACTCTGCTGCCCAGGCTGGAGTACAGTGGTATGATCTCAGCTCATTGCAACCTCCGCCTCCCAGGTTCAAACAATTCTCCTGCCTCAGTCTTCCGAGTAGCTGGGATTATGGGCACCCACCACCACACTCAGCTACTTTATTTTTTTATTTTTTTTGAGACGGAGTGTCACTGTCACCCTGGCTGGAGTGCACTGCTACAATCTCAGCTCGCTGCAACCTCCACCTCCCAGATTCAAGCAATTCTCCTGCCTCAGCCACCCGTGCAGCTGGGATTACAGGTGTTCACCACTATGCCCAGCTAATTTTTGTATTTTTAGTAGAGATGGGGTTTCACCAAGTTGGCCAGGTTGGTCTCGAACTCCTGACCTCCTGATTCGCCCACCTCGATGCCCAGCTAGTTATTTTCATTGCAAAATAACCAGCTACTGTTAGGGTTTTCCCTGAGGGACTGCTCAGGCTCTAAAAGTTAGCCTATGAAGTAAAAACACTCTCATTACAACAAAGTAGTAACACAACAATGAAAGGACAAGCATAGATCGGATGAGGAAGTGGAAAGCTATGTGGATCACCCAGGAGATAAGACACTTCATGAAAACTGGGGTGAATGTGAAAATGCAAACACACAGCCAGGCACGGTGGCTCACGCCTGTAATCCCAGCACTTTGGGAGCTGAGGCAGGTGGATCATGAGGTCAGGAGATCAAGACCATCCTGGCTAAAACAGTGAAACCCCATCTCTACTAAAATACAAAAAATTAGCCAAGTGTGGTGGTGGGCACCTGTAGTCCCAGCTACCCGGGAGGCAGAGCTTGCAGTGAGCTGAGATGGCGCCACTGCACTCCAGCCTGGGCGACAGAGTGAGACTTCATCTCTTTTTTTTTTTTTTTTTTTTTTGAGACGGAGTCTCGCTGTGTCGCCCAGGCTGGAGTGCAGTGGCCGGATCTCAGCTCACTGCAAGCTCTGCCTCCCGGGTTTTTACGCCATTCTCCTGCCTCAGCCTCCCGAGTAGCCGGGACTACAGGCGCCCGCCACCTCGCCCGGCTAGTTTTTTGTATTTTTTAGTAGAGACGGGGTTTCACCGTGTTAGCCAGGATGGTCTCGAACTCCTGACCTCGTGATCCGCCCGTCTCGGCCTCCCAAAGTGCTGGGATTACAGGCTTGAGCCACCGCGCCCGGCCGAGACTTCATCTCAAAAAAAAAAAAAAAAAAAAAATGCACACACATGGAGACCTCTCAGGAGTGATCCAGGACTTCGCTTCGCCCTCTGGTCTTGCAGTGGCAAAGACAATGGTTTGTCAAGCATTTGAGGAGCAGTGGCCTCAGGCTAGGGCGGGGCAGCGAAGCTGGGGCAGAGAGGCCTCAGCAATTCACTGTGCTGGTGTGCTAGGGTTTGCTTTTTTGAGACAGAGTTCAAAAAACTCCCCAGGCTCGAGTATAATAGTGCAATCTCGGTTCTCTGTAACCTCCGCGTCCCAGGTTCAAGCGACTCTCCTGCCTCAGCCTCGAGTAGCTAGGATTGCAGGTATCGGCCACCACGCTAGGCTAATTTCTGTAATTTTAGTAGAGATGGGGTTTTGCCATGTTGGCCAGGCTGGTCTCGAACTCCTGACCTCAAGAGATCTGAACCACCTCAGCCCTGCAAGGTGTTGGGATCACAGGCATGAGCCACCGCATCTGGCCAACACTGTTTATTATCTAACCACTCTTTTTGGCTCTGGCCACTCCCCAGGTGGGTTGGATTCACACAGAATAAATGGAAAACAAAGAGCTAGTGAATGGAGGTTACTCAAATGGAAGTAAAATGGCAAGTTTAATTAAAACAGGCTTGAGGCTGGGCCTGGTGGCTCATGCCTGTAATCCCAGCACTTTGGGAGGCTGAGGTGGGTAGATTGCCAGAGGTCAGGAGCTCGAGACTGTCAGGCCTCTGAGTCCAAGCCGAGCCATCACATCCCCTGTGACTTGCACATATATACGCCCACCTGGATGGCCTGAAGTAACTGAACAATCACTAAAGTGAAAATGCTCTGTCCCTGCCTTAACTGATGACATTCCACAACAAAAGTGCAAATAGCCAGTCCTTGCCTTAACTGAGGACATTCCACCACAAAAGTTAAAATGGCCAGTCCTTGTCTTAACTGATAACATTCCACCACAAAAGTGCAAATAGTGGGTCCTTGCCTTAACTGATGACATTCCACCACAAAAGAAGTTAAAATGGCCGGTCCTTGCCTTAAATGATGACATTACCTCGTGAAATTCCTTCTCCTGGCTCATCCTGGCTCAAAAAGCTCCCCCACTGAGCACCTTGTGACCCCCACTCCTGCCCGCCGGAGAACCCGCCTTTGACTGTAATTTTCCTTTACCCACCCAAATCCTATAAAACGGCCCCACCCCTATCTCCCTTCACTGACACTCTTTTCGGACTCAGCCCGCCTGCACCCAGGTGATTAAAAAGCTTTATTGCTCACACAAAGCCTGTCTGGTGGTCTCTTCACATGGACGCCCATGACAGAGACCAGCCTGGCCAATATGATGAAACCCCGTCTCTACTAAAAGTACAAAAATTAGTCGGGCGTGGTGACACATGCCTGTAGTCCTGGCTACTTGGGAGGCTGAGGCAGGAGAATCGCTAGAACCCAGGAGTGGGAGGCCGAGGGTGTGGTGAGCCATTGAACTCCAGCCTGGGGCAACAAGAGTGAAACTGTCTCAAAAAAAAAAAAAAAAAAAAAAAGAAAAAGGCTTGAAGATGAGTTAGAGGTGGAGCCTGGTCTCAGGACACAGGTGTGTGGCTTTTACTTTACTGAAGCTGGCTGGGGGCCGTGGCTCACACCTGTAACCCCAGCACTTTGGGAAGCCAAGGCGGGAGGATTGCTTGGAGTTTCAGACCAGACTGGCCAACATGGCAAAACTCTGTCTCTACAAAAAAAGCAAACAAACAAACAAAAAAGCGCCGGGCATAGTGGCATGCACCTGTAGTCCCAGCTACTCAGGACACTGAGGTGGGAGGATCACCTGAGCTAGGGAAGTTAAGGCTGCAGTGAGCTGTGATCGCACCACTGCACTCTAGCCTGGTAATACAAAAACACAACACTGGGGGTGGTGGCTGACGCTTGTAATCCCCGCACTTAGGGAGGCCGAAGCGGGAGGATCACCTGAGGTCTGGAGCTTGAGACCAGCCTGGCCAACATAGTGAAACCCTCTATCGACTAAAAATACAAAAACTAGCTGGACATGGTGACAGGCGGCTGTAGGCCCAGCTACTTAGGAGGTACGAGAATTGCTTGAACCTGGGAGGTGGAGGTTGCAGTGAGCTGAGGTAGTGCCATTGCGCTCCAGCCTGGGAAACAGAGCTACTTTGTCTCAACAACAAAATTATATATATATAGCAGTAGCAACAAAAACTTTACAGAAAGGGTGTAACACCTCTCTATATGTGAATAACGTGAGAATGACAACTAGCATAGGTATTTGCATAAGACTCAGGTCCAGAAGCTGGAATAGAATGAGGATAAGAGGCTCCACCACCTCAATGAATAAAAGACAATACCTTCTGTTAAGAGGACTCATTAGACACAACCTCAGCACCGCCCAGGACTCCACACACAGCAACCACAGCATCTGACCTGTTCCATTTTTGTTTTTTGAGCTCTATTCTAAATCCCCCAAGAGAACAGAAATAAAAGCACACAAACTTATCCTCTTATGAACCAATGTAAACTAGAGACACTCTAGATCTAAGCATCTGCTACTCTTTCCCAAGTCAGAACCACTGCATTTTTTTTTTTTTTTTTTTTTGAGAGAGTTTCTCTCTTGCTGCCCAGGCTGGAGTGCAGTGGCACGACCTCGGATCCCCACAACCTCCGCCTCCTGGGTTCAAGGGATTCTCCTGCCTCAGCCTGAGGAAAGAGAGACCCTCTCGTATTGTTTTATACTCAGTACTTGTTTCAAGAAAAAAAACCGGGAGGTAAAACCAAAGACAGGCAGCCCGGCACCCAGCCCAGAACCAGGCCTGGGTCTGCCTGGCCTAAACCCAGTAAGTAGTTAAAAATCAACTCATGACTTAGAAACCGATGTTCCGGACGTTGTAGAGAAGAACATTGTGATACTCCCTGCCCTGTTGTTTCTGACTACCAGTGCATGAAACCCCCGTCCCGTATCCCCTAGATTGCTTAATCACAACCCTTTCATATGAAATCTTTAGTGTTGTGAGCCCTTAAAAGGGACAGAAATTGTGCACTTGGAAAGCTCGGATTTTAAGGCAGTAGCTGGCCGATGCTCCCAGCTGAGTAAATCCCTTCCTGCTACAACTCGGTGTCTGAGAGGTTTGGTCTGTGGCTGGTCCTGCTATAAGCCCCCCAAGTAGCTGGGATTCCAGGCATGCTCCACCATGCCCACCTCATTTTATACTTTTAGTGGAGACGGGGTTTCTACATGTTGGTCATGACCTCAGGTGATCTGCCCGCCTTGCCCTCCCAAAGCGCTGGTATTACAGGTGTGAGCCACTGAGACCGGCAGAACCACTGAACTTCTAACAGAAGATTTAGGCCTGGGACGGTCGCTCTTGCCTGTAATTCCAGCACTTTGGGAGTCTGAGGCAGTAAGATCTCTGGAGCCCGGGAGTTAGAGA